AGTTCTTTTCCATTGAACATAAAGATTCTTAAGTGTGCATGTGAAAAAAAATCAACTGACATTTAAGGGAATTTCAATTAAACTCACATGAGACCCCTCACAGGAAACTCTAGAGGACAGAAGAGAATGGAGTGACATATTTCAGATTCTAAAACCAAAAATTTGTCAGCTCAGGATAACATACCCAGCAAAACTTTCCTTTGTCTTTGAAAATGAAATAAAATTCTTCCACAGTAAAGAAAATAATATGCCTCTTCCAAACCTGCCCTACAAATGATACTTAAAAGATATTTTCTAGACAGAGAAAAGGAATAGCACTCACCAAAACCAAAGGGAAATGCCAAAAACATCCCAGTAAAAATAGCAACAGAAGACTAAATGAACAACTCATTGCTAAAATGACAGAACCAAATTACCGCCTATTTTTATTAACCCTGAATGTAAATGGCTTAACTCATCTGTCAAACATCACAGATTAGTAGACTAGATAAAAAACAAAGCCCATCAATTTATTGCCTACATATCTCACCAACAAAGATCAGAGGAAACTATATCTCATAGATTTTGATTTTTTTTGTTAGTTTCATCTCTTCAAAAACACTTTCTTCTGATTAAATTCTTCAATGACTCTTAGATCATACAGCAGCATGATTTTCTCTAAGAAGGTGCTTGATTTTCTTTTTCATTTCTTCAGCAACACATTAGTAATTCAGTAACACATTATTTAACTTTATAGTATTGTTAATTTCTTTTTTTGCTGTTATGTTTTATATTTTGTGGCTTTTCATTTAAGTGGATGTATAGTAACTGTGTAATGGAGACTATCATATCTAGAAGCATGTTATTTAACTTCATGGCATTGTAAATTCCCATTTTTCTTCCTGTTGTTGATTTTGCATTGTGGCTTTTCATATTGTGGCTAACATATCCAGATGTAAGAGGATACAATGCAGTATGCATCTCTACTTCCAGACAAAGATGGACTCCCTATGAAACTGTTTACTCTATCTTGACAATTAGATGCTGGACTCTCTGTCATTGTCCATGCCCGCAATGATGGACACATGATTGTGTATGAAGAACTATAGTATAGCAATGATGTAGAAGAACTTAATGAGGAGGGAGGGAATTGGGGAGGGATAACAGAAATCCCATGATCTATGGAACTGTATCATAAAATGATAATCATAAGAAGTAAAAAGAAAAACAATAAACAATGAGATAAATAAGGGTTCCCCCCTAAAAACACTGAAAAATACTGACATTTGACCCATCACAGTTTAAATATTTCCTCTTTCTAGTATTTATTTCAACCTTGCTCAGGTGATTGTGCGGAAGAATATAGATTGCCCCTTTGCTTGGGCATGCTATCTCCCTTTGAGTAACAAATCTTCTCACACAGACTTTATTTCTACATTCCAATGTTTCTCTTCTATTTGGAAGTGCTCTGTGGCAATTTTCATTGTTCAGAATTAAAAGGGACTACACGATGGCATTTTCAGGAAGAAACTTCAGCATGTTGAGGTTATTTGTCAACAAGATGAGAGAAGGACAGGTGAGGCAGTAGCAAGAAGAGGGTGACAGATGAGAAAGGCTGAATTGGTTTAAGAGGGGGTGGATGTTTGAGAATCAGACTTCCATGGACTCTGTTGCTGCTCTGCCTTTAGTCTTCCTTTTCTTCTCTCCTATCTCTTAGAAACTTCCAGGTTCTCCGCCCTCACTGCTCCCTGTCCACCTGACCCAAACCTGATGCTTTAAAATTTCCTTCCCAGATCTGTAAAATTAGACTCTACAATCCAAGCCTTACTTCGAAGGCTTGTCTCTTTTTTTTCACTTCCTCATCTAAAAAAAAAAAAACTACCTTAGCAGAAGAAAATACAAAACACAGGTGTAAAGCATCTCCTATGGATCACATTTTTATGGACTTTTCCTTGCTGCTTGATCCTAAGTTCATGTTAATCTATGCCCTGCTTCGTGTTCTTAGAGGTACTTAGTTATTCCACCAAAAACCCAAAAGAAAAGAAACTGTGTTTCTAGGGCAATGTGAGACAATAACAAAGACTTCAAGCTTTTTGAGAACATTTTTTGATTGAAGGAAAAGAACCAATTTTAGTGCTGAACTTATTCCAGAACAAAAAAAAAATATAACTGGAATTTTCGTTTATTTTCAGTTGTGCCCTTAAGAAATTTCCATAAGAAAGGAAAATAAACATTAGAGAATGGTATAGGACCTGTTACATCAGAGAGAAAGCTCCCATAGTTAGGAAACCAAATATCAGCACCAAAATTACTTTTGTCTCAGTTTATTGTTTAAATTTCTGAAAAGGAATTATCTAAAAATTTTTGAAAGGATAATTTATGTGTGTGTGTATAAATATATGCACACAAATACATACACATACATATATGTGTTATATATGTGTGTGTACATGGTACTTCAAAAATTCATGACAAATGGAGCTTTTTAATAATTCATTTTATGTATTCAAAAATGCAGAATACCACAGAAGCAGATTGCGGGGAGTCAAAAAGAGAAAAACAGGGCTTTTCCATCTGTGGGCTCACTTCCCAAATGAATGTGAAGACCGGGGCCGGGCCATGACGAGGCCAGGAACCTGGAAATCCATGCAGCTCTTTCATGGGGGTGGATTCTGCTCTCTCCTCAGAGCTCATTAACAGGGAGCTGTATCAGAAGGGAGGTAGCTGGGTTTCAAAGAATTACTTCTATGGGATGCTGGTGTTGCAGGGATGGTGTAACCCAATGCACCACAAAGTTGACCCCAGATAACTTTATTTTGCTACAAAAAAATGAGATATATACATATTGTTCAACAAACATTCTCCATAAACTTCTTGAAGTCCTCTCATATGTATGAAACATGTATCACACATATACATATACACATACAAACATAAACTACACAGTGCTTTTTAAAATAATCACATAATTTGGAAAAATAAATTTATTAGAAGTACAAATCACCAGATCCATTCTCCTCCCCCAGAGAAGTCTGACCATTTTAAAGTTTGAACATAAATGCTTGTGGCTCATTTCCAGCAGGCACAATACCAAGGTAGTGTCTGGAAGACAAACATACTTTTGTGGTAGATAACTGTTTTCTTGGCCTTTGAATAACTGTGGTCACATTCTCAAGAACAAAATTGTGGCCCATGTTGCCAGTTATTCTATTCTTCCAGAGTAGGAAAATTCCTACCCTAAGGCACAGCAATTACAATTCCTAAAGGAAACACTGCCTTTTCATTGCCACTATAGGGTGCTCCCGCCTCAGATTCTCACTTCCAATGACCCTCAGGTTGTGATGAGACAACTACATTACTTTCTTGAATCTGGACTGTGTGCATCTCTGTGTGTTGTGTGTCTCTATGTGTTTGTCTCCCAACATCTTTAAGTGCACATGCAAAAATACAACAGAATTTAACTATGGTTTACACTCACCTGTCTTAAACACTCCCTTATTCCATTCTATTTTCCCATCTTGAGTTTATTATCACATTACCTATTCCCCCTATTAAGCGCACATTTATAAAATCTCAGCTCTTTATCTGGCAGTGTACCTGATGCAACACATGTAAAGATTCTTCCTGTCTTCACAAGTTCCAGCCCATATTATGTCATGAAGTAGTTGAGATGTACAAACCCAAAGATGACTGCCAGGAGAGGGCTTACAATCTTTTCTTTGCAGTTTTTAGTGACGGTTCTTAAAATGTATCTCTAACTTATTCAACTAATCTTAGACATATCAGTATTTCATCTTATTTGGAGCCAGAAGCTAGACACAGAATTCCTCTTGGATCAGTTTTGCAGCAAAGCTACTCAATCTGTTTTGTCAAAAGATGTTAATTGACACTTGTCTAGATATTGGAATCAGAAGAACAGAGTTCATACTTCTCTGCATCAGTAGCTTGTTTTCATTAACATAGCAAAAATGCACTGATTGGCTACAAAGGACAAATCATCAAAGAATGTGTGTGAAAATAGTTGCAAAAGTTGAAATTCTATGTAATTTATAATTGTAATTTAAAAAATTGCTGGGAACTTTGATGCTTTGCTATAAAGATTTAAACTCTTGAGAAAGAATGCTCTATTTCATGAGTTGGCCCAGTTGTAGCTCCTTTTGTACTGTTTTATTTCACTAATACAAAGCTCAACAGACATCTCATGTTTGACTTAGTTGAGCGTAGTGTACATATGGTTTATATATGGAGGGAGTTTTGGAGTCAGATCCTGGGCTTGTTATCTGAAAACAATGCTTTATAAAACAGAAGACAGCTAACTCTGATTCTAATGTGAGGTTTGAATCCATTTTTTTTAAGACATGTGAACGCAAATTACTATGTCACATTGGGTTGTCCCAGATTACATTAAGGTGTAAGGATTAGAAAACAGTGCATTTGAAAAAAAAATCCCAAGACAAAGGGTTTAAGGGAGTCAGGAAGGGAGACATAGAACAGAAGGAGGAGATAATGTTTTTAATTACACTGGTTCCGCTGGAAAAATTAGGGAGAAAGGGAGTGAAGAACAAGCTTCAGAGACAGCACCTCAGGTTGGAGGAAGCTGTGCTGCTTATTGTCCAGTCCCAATACTTGACAACCGGCCATTATCAGGTGACACTAAGCCCCCTGGGGAACAACCATGCACCAGAATAAACACTTTGTAACTCCACTTTTCCATGAACTTTCTGAGGTACTTTCATATTTGCATAAGCATATGAGATAATTGAAGGATTTAATCCGCGCATAAACATGAAATTCATTGATGCTTCATACACATCTTACTTGTACAGCCTGAAGGTAATATGAACTGTAGTATTTACTAATTTTATGCATGTAAGAGTTTCATGGTGTGTAACTGTCTACTGGCAGTATCATGCTGATTCATGCTGAAACATTTCAAATTTCTAATTTTTGAATTGGGATTGTGCAATGTGTAGGTTGTTTCCATAAAGTGCATGCATGTTTTGTGCTTTTGTCTTTTTTAGATTTAATTGTGGGAGCATTTGGAAGAGGAAAAGTAGCTCTTTACAGGTATGTAGTTGGTGGTAGACAATTAGTCTCCTAACTGTTTCAGATGCCTTTCTTTGATGATGTTAGTTTTGCCTTAAGCAGAATATATCAACTCTTTATTCTGAAGAACATTTAAATATTCTGTTTAGAGTTTGGAAGTGTTTTTTTCCTCTCAGTTTTTAATCTTTCCTCCATCCTTCCATCTTTATTCTCAAACTTCTTGACCTAAATTTCAGCCCTACTACAATAGTTTATATTAACTGATATATAATTAAGTGACGTATCAGTTAAATGGATGTTCCTTTATTTGGCTTCTTCTTTTTCTTTGAAAATCTTAAAAATAAAAAGAAAAATCTTTAAATGTGCATCTGCATTATAGGGGAGCAGGGTGAGAGAAGCTTACTATTTACTCTGGTTTTTATGACCAAGTATGGAGACCAAGTTGGCAGAAAGAACATATTAGGAATTGATCACCTCCAAAAACCAAGCATTAAACAACAATTCAAATACAATAGACTTGGATTCAAAACCTGGCCATTTACAGATTTGTAATCTTGGGCAAGTTCTGAGTTTTGAGCATAACGTTTTTCACTTTGGGAATTGAGGATAACAAAAGTTACTTTGTAAAGTTTTCTTCCTTTCTTCCTTCCTTCCTTCCTTCCTTCCTTCCTTCCTTCCTTCCTTCCTTCCTTCCTTCCTTCCTTCCTTCCTTCCTTCCTTCCTTCTTTCCTTCCTCTCTCCCTCCCTCCCTCTCTCTCTCTCTCTCTTTCTTTCTTTCTTTCTCTCTCTCTCTCTCTCTTTCTTTCTTTCTTTCTTTCTTTCTTTCTTTCTTTCTTTCTTTCTTTCTTTCTTTCTTTCTTTCCTTCTTTCTTTCTTTTAATAAAAGGACACAATAATGACCTAAGCAAAGTATACACTGAAAAGCAACTAGTTAGATATCTGGTCTTCAGAAAATGTTAAACTTCTAGAAAAAATGGATGGGGGCGGTTGGCACAGCAGGTAAGATGCTGGTTGGGCACCTTCATCCAATATTGGAGTACCTGGGTTCTAGTCCCCTCTCCAGCTTCTTATTAATTTGCACCATGAGAGGCAATGGGTGATTGGGTCCCTGCCATCTACATGGAAGATTTAGTTGAAGTTCTGGTTCTGGCTTCAACCCAGCACAGCCCCTAGCTATTTTGGGCATTTAGGGAATGGACTAGAGAATAAGAGATCTCTCTCCTTGCCCTTCAAATAGAAGTAAAATAAAAACTATTTTAAAATCAATAAAACATTTTATAGGAATTCAAGATACAAAGTCAGGATATCAAGACAAAAAGCAAAGCAAATACCTGGATGTGCTGGGCATGTTTTGCTAATATATTAGGTACTCAGAGAGAATCTAAGCTTAGATTTCTTCTTCATCAGTCCCAAGATAATCTTAGAGAAGACAGATTTAGACCAGGCATTCTCAACCTTAGGTTTTAGAGAATTAGATGGTTGAAATCCCCAAGTCTCTGAAATAAGGTCCTTGGGTTGATGGTCATGAATGTGAGCCATACAGAGCTGCTGAAGTAAAATTGAATCACACCACACATTGAGCCAGCCACTGCCTTTGTGCCCATGTTTCCCACGGGCGGCTTCTAGTCAAGAACTGAACACATGAATACAGAAATGAAGGATGCTCCTGCAGACATGAGACTTCTATCATGGACAGCCTGGGCACATGGACACCGCTTTATCCTGATGACTATTCTTATGCAGTCCTCTTGCCTTCCCTCCCATTTATTTTTTGAAGCCCAAACTTCCAGCTTTCATTCTCTGCCCTCCACTTTTCTCTCTTACATATTTGCCCACCTCCCAGTCTCTTACATGTTTAATATCAGTTTATAATCCGCCTTTCCAAAGTGTGAAGCTAATGTAATACTGAAAACAAAATTCTGTTAACACAATGCAGATATATTGCATTGAAGATCCTCAAACTCCCAATGTGATACCTTAACAGTAACTACCAAATTGTTAAAGTAAGATATTCAAAGCATTCTGCCCTAAGACAGACCTCCATTTGGTTAAGGGAAGACTTGTGCAATATGACATCATTTCACACAGCCATCTGCAAACTTTGGCCCCCAGCTCCCATATCTTGAAACCAGATTTTTAAAACTGTTTGGCTTCTTTTCCTCATTATTTACTCTCTTGTCATTATCCTCACCTGGGTGGTTAGAATGGCATTTGCTCTGCATCAGTGCCTCTCAAACTTGGCCAAGTTTGAATGATGTGGCAAATTTGTTTAGCATTCCAATGCCTTGTCCTTCCCCAGAGGTTCTGGTTCAGTTGGTACATAGTGGGGCCTGGGTAGAGTATTTGTTTCAGTGCACCATGGGCGGTTATGTTATGCAGTTGGGATTGAAAAGCTTTGCTCAGGATAAAGTACAACATTATTCTGTCAATCCACCTTTAAGTGTTTAGCTAAATCCACCAAGATCAATCAGAAAACTGCCAATGAGGCAACACAGTAAAATTTACAAGATTCAAGAATACACAAACACAAGTAGCTGCGAGAGGAAGTACGTCTTTAGATATAAATAGATATAGATATCCCAGCAGTGTTTGGAGTCATGTTTCCCAACAATATGGTGAGCCTGCACCACAAAGAAGACAAGTGTGTGAATGTGGCTGTACTTGACAGGCACACAGCATACTTCTTTTGTGTTCACAATCTGTCAGATGTGTTTAGAGGTAGTGTGCAAGGTGTGGTGCCCATGTGTTCATTCAGTGAGCAATGTTCTCAGCATAATAGCTGGGAAGGTTGTCATTATGTTGTAGCAGTCAGCTGGTTGCTCTCATGTGGTTGATTCAAACTTGTGTTTTCTCCCTGCAGAGCAAGGCCAGTTGTGACAGTGGATGCTCAGCTTCTGCTGAACCCAATGATTATCAATCTCGAAAATAAAACTTGCCAGATTCCAGAATCCATGACATCAGTGTCCTGGTAAGTTAGTTCCAGATTTGCTCAAACTTTTGCGTGCATTTACATGATCTAGGTATCTGATGATAAATGCATATTTGGGGTTCATTCATTCTGGGCTGGGACCTGGGGCTTTACATTTCTAGAAAAGGCTCCCATAGAGTGTTACTGCTGCTGCTAGTGGGTGGATCCAGTTTGAGTAGCAAGGGGTTAGTCTTTTGAAAGAATATAACTCTATGCTAGTCTTTGGTTACTTAGCACATGAAGCATGCCTCTCTTGGCTGCAGGCTCTTTAATCTCCCTTTTCAATCTACAGGCTTCAATCTCTTAAGAATAAAACAAGTGGGGAAAATTCCAAGTGAAACAGTCTTAGAGATCTCTTTTAGATTCTTGGCACACTGTAATAATTGTTAACCAAAAAAATAGAGCAAAATACTTTGACTTCTGCGTTTGTATGTGCCTTATGGAAACCACTTTGTAGACACATAAAATATATCCTCTTTTTTAAAAACAGGCAAGCTTATATTAAATTACCCAATTTTCTTGCTAAAGTCCGAACTAGTTTCCTAATTTGTCATGTACAACTAGATAGAATGTTAAGCACTATAAAAGATACTTTTGTGCCCTAAGCTGTATTTTCATGACCCTGCTGTGCTCATCAGCAGTGGGATTGCAGTCCCATTTTCCCTTACCAAAGAAGAATCTGGCTTAGATTTACCTGCAAGGCTTGCCTCTGAATTGTCATCTGAAGGAATTTCAACACAGAACCTCATTATAACACAGCTCAAGAAAATGCCACTTAGCTTCTCAAGATGTACGTTTGCAAGGGTCAGAAGTCATCATATTGGACAATACCATTAGGATATGACCTCTGAAAAATCAACAAATCCTTGGCACATCTGAGAATTACCCTCATTTTCCAGATGTGATTTAACGCAGGCAGCATGTTCAGTTCCTGAGACTATCAGAAGACGGAAAAAGCCAGTCTTGACCCAAAAGAAGTTATTTCTAGCCAATTATAGCATATAGCTGACAGTTCTGAGTTTTGGAGGGTGGAGGCTGGGGAGTCAGGAAAACTCTGAAGAGTTCTTGGAAAGCATCCTGGGGTCAGGAGCTTACCCCCACATTCCCTGCTACCACCCCACATGGGGAGCCTCATCTTTGCCTTTAAGTGATTTTGAAAGTTTTAGATGGGACATGCCCTTAGCACATTTTGATATGGTTTAAACCTACACAATGGTATAATGAAAACTTGATCTGAGGAAATATGTGAAAGAGCCAGCAATTATTCTTACCCTGGCGTGATAAAGAGAACATTAAGTATGTTGAGAATGCAACTTGACCATAAGTATTAAAACGATAGTATTCCCATGGAGTTCTGTTACCACCTTCAGTACAAAATGGACTTCTAGACTGAATTCCTTGAACCAGGCATGGAAAACTCTGGTGAAAAGTATTGTTATTTTCAATCATTTATTTCCTAAGGATTTTACTTGGATGAAAATTTTTTATAAAATATGAGTGGTTTTAACATTATGCTATATGGTTTATGGAAAGAATATTATTTTTTAAAAATTGTCTTTCTTTTAAGAGCCATTATTTTATTAAACTGTATTCCTGAGAAAAACACAAGTTATTGCTTACACAAAAATATATTATAATTCTTTATTATTATTTGTTCAATTTCATGATATACATTTTCTGAAAGATGTTTTATTTTCATGTGCACAAGTTTGGAATGGTGCCTCAGGATATTAGAGGACAAAAAGCTGGCTCAGGTGAAATATATTTCCCAGTTCTTTAAAAATTGTTATTCTAAAAATTTAGTTTGATTTTATTCTAAAATGATTGAAAGACTTCTGTTGATTTTCTTCGCTGGATTTTTTTTTTGACCTACAATTGATATAACCTTGAATTGTACATCTGAAAAACAGTTATTTAATCTCTAGTGAGCAAACAATTCTTCCCTATTATCAATTCAGATTTATGTGTTTTCCAAACAGCTGTGTAGCTTTATAACATATCTGCTACTTGTTAGAAAAAGACTAGTTCAGTAATTACTAACATAATTGGTGATCTAATTAATAAGAAAAACTGTTTAGTAAAAAATTTCATTTATAATGTAAAAGTCAGTAACTAGCTGCTAAAATTGAAAACAGGTATGACTGATATTATGGAAAATTTGATATCTGTAATAATTGAAATAGGATTGAATTGGTAAGAATGAAGAGTGAGGGAGCAAACATTTACTTATTCTTACCCTGAATGTTCAGAATGAATGTTGGTCCATTGCAATAACATGTTGAGATTTTATTTTTATATTATTGGAACAATGAGTGAATAAACTGCTTTTTGCTAAAGATCTCTATACACTAAGAAGTTGAAATTGGAGTGCCATTATTGATGATTGTGTAAGTTGTAACAGTTCTATTAAAATCTTATAAAAGGGGGCAAAGTCACCAGTGGCTAATGATACAGAGGTGATAGGAAACAGAGGGAAAGGCAGGTTAATGATGACATCATTCATAAAGCCAGAGCCACTCTTCAGTTGACAGCATCACTCATCAATCAACTATCTTCTCACAAAAGGCCCGTTTTCCTAACTTTAATTTATTCCAGTTGCAACCTTTTAAAATTATTTGTTAGACAAATAATTGCATTTAGCCATATTTTAATTTATGTGTGATGCTAATTTTGTTACAAATAGGACTTTATAAAAGCAAATGAGCTTTTATACATAATGTCATGAAGTTAACAAAAAACAAACAAACAAAAAAAGGGTTAGTGGATGATTTTCACATAGCCTAGTAATCCCAAAGAAGTTGGAAAGAGAAGAATTTCGTGTTTGGAAGCCAGATCTACTGAAAAAAAGTAACGATGTGATTAGCTAATCATCTTCTAAAATAATTCTAACTGAAGTCGAAGCAGGTTGGATTTGTGATTTCTCTGGAGAAGTGATATGCAAGGATATAAACACTTGCAGTAGTATAAACATCTCAGGAAAAGTTTTGGCTTAATGGTATGTGGCAACTTATATATCCTGAAGGGAGACACTGCCTGAGGTCACGGCAGATGGATGAATCCCAGATGTGACATATTTTCACTATGTGTGACACAGGAAGCTGACACATAATTAAAATATGATTAGGAATTATTTACTGCTTTTGAGTTCTGTCGAGAGAATCTCATCATGCTATGGATTTATCAGTAACAACTTTAAGATCGTCATTAAATCATACTATATTTCTACTTTCTTGCAACTACAAGAAGATTCTATGTTTAATGCTGATAGTGAATTTTTCAGGACAGAAGTGAGAATATTCAAGTGAGAATGCCACACAAGGCAGAGTCCATTGGCTATTTCTCATCACCTCCATGGCCATAGACCCTGGACCAAGTGCAGGCTGACGTATCAGCCACAACAGACATCGTCCTGCACTGTGGGTAGGGCCTGTTGCAGGCAAAGCTAGGAAGCACCAAAAATAGAAAACTAACCTTCCATTATTGTCTCTGTAGCTCATATGCTGTGCCTATCTTGCTTTACACTCTTATTTTCTTTCTTTCTTCTCCTCCTTTGATAGTCCCAACTTTAAATCCATTTCATAGCTTCTTCTCACCCATCAACTGAACCAGCTTCCTCTCCTGCAAATTCCTGTCTTTTCCTCCAGCCGCACTGGGTTTCTCTGGATTTCTCAGGTGAGAGCACATCCTAGCCACCCTCTAGGCTTTCCTCCAGCAGTTACCCTGCTGGGATACCTCAGTCCTCCCTCCCCAAAGCATGAAGATATGTGTTTATTGAGTAAAGCAGCAAAAAAAAAAAAATTGATTAATTGGTTAAACCAACCTATCAATGAATCTGTTTATTTTTCTTAATACTGCTGAGCATTACCTTCTTATATAATCATAGCATCAACTGATGGGAGATGTGTGTCAAAGTACTGATATAGAGAAAAATAACAGTCATTTTGTCTGGGATAGAGGAAAAGGAGAATTTCTACTACTGAGTCAAAGCTATGAATCAATGAATTTTGGCCATTATTTTCCCACAGCTTCTCTTTAAGAGTGTGTGCATCTGTGACAGGCCAGAGCATTTCAAACACAGTAGGTGAGTATGTTTTAATTTTTACTTTTTACTTGCTGTCCATTTTTCAAATGGGATTTTATTTATCTTATTTTTAAAGGAATTTATTTATATAACATTCCTATGCTGTACTAAGCACATGCAATAGTAAGCATGTCTCCAAACAGACATGAAAAAACCAAGACCAGTGTCAACATGGAAATTTCTACATACATATGTCTTCAATAATTAGTATTAGTAGTATATATAAGAACAGGTATAGCTATGTGAAAAAGTAATCATTTGCATATAAGCACTTCAAAATTATTTTTATTCTGGAAAGAGTCTACAACATTTTTTCTTGCTCATATATGAGAGGTCTTCAATATACGCAGATGAAAAAAATATTTGAACCAAAACAAACTTATCTTTTCATTCAATTTTTCCATGAGCTTTGTGATTTACCCTCACATTGTGTTTGATCCCCACTATGAAAAGCCAGTTTCCTACCTAAACAATGGAGACTGGGAATCCTAGCTCTGGCAGAACTCGGTGCTCTCCGAATATGTTTCCTCTCCTGATTATATTTCCTCCATTTCTGTCCTGTAGCCCTGAGGGCTGAGGTGCAGTTAGATGCCCTGAAACAAAAAGGAGCCATTAAGAGAACACTCTTCCTGGAGAACCACCAGCCCCATCACTTCTTCCCTCTGGTGATAAAACGGCAGAAATCTCTCCAGTGCCAGGACTTCATGGTTTACCTGCGAGTAAGTGCTGCAAAAACATATCTTCTGATATTTCAGGTTCAAATCCAAGTTCCAACCATTTTGTCCAATCATCTATTATATCTGTCCCTATCATATCAGATCTCCTTCTATTCATTTTCATTTCCACAGGAGGGAACTTTATTTTAAGGTTGAACACTCTTTTGACTCATCTAGCCTAATGACCTGTTGTTACTAATTTTGAAGGCTTCTTTTTTGTTTAGAACAAAATCTTGATAATAGTGCTCAACTCAGGTGGTTTTCATTTCTCACTGCCTTTCCCCAAAACATAAAAGTCCAACACAATTTATTTGAATTTTTATTCTATGTGAGTTTGTCTTGTTAGATTTTATCAACATACATTTCAGAGCCAACTCAGGAAACCATTTGGGCATTCAAAGCTTTTATGGAAAGTAATTTATACTTATCTTCTTAAAGGTATTTTTACAATAATTCTAAAACCATGAAACTTAAAAAGCCAAAGTATTTATCACACAAATTTCCATCCTTGCCATTTGCTACATTGCAATCATTCATTCTTATTTCTTGTCTTCCTTTGAGGGGTTTAGTTAGTTAACAAGGGAGACCCTTCAAAAGATCAGAAGTCCACAGCACAAATGAAAATTTTTGTGTAGGACCCTGAATCTTCCTTAGACTTTTACTGAAACACAGCTGATGGGTGACATGCCTGCTGCTAGCTGCTCATCACCCACCCCTTTTGTTTTTGCAAATGTGCTGAAGGCATTCTGAAGTTTATGCAAGCAACCACTGAAAGAGATTATAAGAGAAGAGAACCCAGATGCTTTCTTCCTCTAAGGCCAAGAGAATTAGTAAAATCCGGCAACCTCATGAAAACAAAAGTCCTAATTCATCACGGTTTTCATGACATCTGTGGTATAGAAATACAATCTTTTGCTTTGTGAATTAGCCAATTCTGTGTGAGTTGAAGAATCTGAAGATTCCTCTAGAAGCATCCCTCTATGAAGCCATGGCTGCAAATTACTTTATTACTGAACATATTAATTACACCAGCCACTGTATACCATGTAAATTAGCATGTTTTTTGGAGCCCATTGCAATACTCCCTGCTTCATCACCCACTTGCACTGACAGAAGTCACACGTTGCCTACCTTCCAACAATTTATGGAGCTTCTCTTTAGTTTGTGATTATTTTTCCTAGGATGAAGCAGAGTTCCGAGATAAGTTATCTCCAATCAATATTAATTTGAATTACAGTTTGGATGAATCTGCCTTTGAGGAGGGTCTGGAAGTGAAACCCATATTGAACTACTACAGGGACCACGGTGTTAGTGAACAGGTATGTTCCTGGATGGCCTGTGAAGATTTGCTCTCCATCCTGTGCTGGGGTGGGCTGGGAGGGGCTTCCAGTGGCTTCCTGGATTATTACTGATATGTGACTGTATAATGCAGGCTCACATCCTGGTGGACTGTGGAGAAGACAATCTGTGTATTCCTGACTTGAAGCTGGCAGCTAGATCGTAAGTATAAATAAATAAACAATGAGCATTACAGCTCATGGAATGCAGCTATTTATTTAAAACTCTCTCTGGAGCACGTAGACACTCCAGTTGACCACCAAAACTGTGCTGTGTGCATTCCTGAGCTCGCTGTTCTTTGGGTCAACGTGTGGTTTGGGTCATCGCTTTATCACTGGTGTCAAAGTGATACACCCTAAGATTTTTGTCTGGGCCGTTTCATCTTTCAACAACAGAGGGAAAAATATTTTTGTTAAAGGGAAACTTGTCTGTGGGGAAAGCTCAGGTTATGTTTATTTGCCTCCATCAAGTGGACAAAGGATTCAGCCAGGCTGGTTCCATCTACACCTTCTGTAAGCTGGTTTTCACCGCATCGCATGACCCCAGGGCATCCTTGTACAGATGAAAGCAACATTCATTGTATTGTAACAAAAGAAGGGGAAGGAAGGAAGGAAGTGGAAGGAAGGAAGGAAGGAGAGAGAGAGGGAGGGAGGGAGGGAATGAATAAAAGAAAAGAAAAAAGAAAAGTCTTAAAGTCACATTTTGGATTAAGCAGGTGTCACCATACCAAAAAAGGAAGTCAGGGTCTTCCCAGATGTCAGCAGAGGGGAGGGTGCACTGGACGCTGGCAGTGGCACTACAGTATCTCAGGGGCAGAAATCGGCCTGAGATACAAGCATCTTGCAGTGGAGGAGCAGGCGTGCACTCCTCTCCTGCCAGGAGTTCTCACCGCCAGCCCTCAGGATCTTTTCCCAAACTTCCTAATTTAACAAATATTCAAAAAAATAGCTTTGAGTCCTGGACAAAAGTGGGAGAGGTATTTCCAAATGTTGGTTTGATTTGGAGTTCGAGTAAATTAATACTCTCTCAGGTTATGATCTTATGTTATCAGCCTCTTTCTTTCTTCTTTATCCACCATGTGTTGTTGCCCTGTCTTGGTTTCTGTCATTTTCTTCCTAAGGTATATTTTTAGTGATATGCTGGAGTTTGCTGATTCTTGCTTTAAACCCCATGTTACATTTTTACATTTGCAGAGACCTTGCTGGTGTATTGTTAAGTATGTTTGTAGCTTTAAATCAACCCTGGGAGGGGATGCTGTGCACTATCACTGGGAATCAGCAAATGCTCTACTAAACAAATGGGGTTTTTGTTTGTTTTGTTTTTGAGATTTGGTGTTTAACATTTACCAGCACTACCAGATCTCTTCCCACCCTTCCAATCCAAAGATGGGTCTCTGGACTCTTGCCATCATTTGTTCATGGTGATCCATCTTCATGTTGGTCTGAGCCTTGTAGTCATCATTTTCCTTCCTTTCTTCCCACATAGAATCTTAAATCAGGTATTTATGGAAGCAGAGGAGTTGCCTAATAATTATTTTTAAATTTAACTTTTAGAGATAAGCATCAGGTAATCATTGGAGATGAAAATCACCTTATGCTCATAATAAATGCAAGGAATGAGGGGGAAGGAGCCTATGAAGCTGAACTCTTTGTAATGATACCAGAGGAGGCAGATTACGTCGGGATTGAACGCAACAACAAGGTATGTGAAGTATTTGAAGCACAGAGCTGCACTGATTTTTAAAGTCAAGTAAATGTCAAGTAGAGTCTTGTCAGCAGAGAGTTTTTTCATAACTAAAAAAGCCCAAAATAGTATCTTACATTATTTTGTCATAATAGCAGTAAATCCATAGGAGCATGGGACCACCTTGTGCTGATGACTATTTTTACCACACTGCAAGGATCACTTGGCCAAAGATTGGGACCTGAAGTTACGAAAAGAACGAGTCTGGCAGGCAGTAGAAGTTTCCCAGCATGATCAATCGGCTACATTGCCGGGCTAACTTTTTATCCTCACTGGCTTCCTAAGCCATGTTTTGAGTTCCTTGAAGTTGCAAGCAGGTCACAGGACGCCTGGTTTTCATTATTGTTTAGGGAAGAAGGGCCAACCAATCCCCGCAGAGCACTGATAATAGCCTGGACAAGCACTGGAGAGAAAACAAGTTCATTTTTCTTCCTGCTTGGTCCACCTTGTCAGGACTGTGGCTAGGAAGAGCCTGGTGTTCCTCATTCGCCAGTCCTCAGTGCTGCTAGTTACTGAAATGCCACCTCTGCTATTTATAACCTCGCCTTTGCTATCAGAATACACGTCTTCCAACTCGCAGTATCCTTGGGTTCTGCAGTGTTCTTAAACACTTGTTCTAGAAAACCATTTTGAGCACATGGCAGGATACTGAGAGGAGGGTGCCCCTTATTGCTAGAAACACACAGGCTCACAATTAAGCATAGAGACCAAGTTTCTCATTGCTTTCATGGATCCAGGTATGTCATAGGCACTCCTTAAATATTTGCTAATAGATTTTCTCAATTTAACTAAAATTCACCAAATATCTATGAGTTTTCAAATACAACTTTCTTAGGTAAGCTTATATATTAAGGAGACTGAATAGTTTAATGTTAACTAAATTCCTCTAAACATATTAATAAACTGTTGTGATGGCATTTTAAGACATATACAAATATAGGAAATATGAAATTCTCTACTCACACTTCCTTTTTTAAGTTGAATCATCATCTCAATTTAAATAGACAAGTAACAAGTATCTTCACAGTGATTTAAAAGCATTATGAATTTTTATTTAAAAATGTATCAAAAAATCTCCAAGTTCATTAATTTGCATTTATTAAATGGGAATAGATTTTTGTTATGTCAATTCTATCTCAAGAAAATGACTTTAAACAAAACAAAACAAAACAAAACAACAACAACAAAAAACCTCCCAGATGTCCTAACTCTCCCATGTGCACTGTGAGTTGGAAAGAGGAGGACCATTCCAACTTCCTTCAAATGAGTTTTTAGCTCTCTAGCCTGTTTCTTTTTCTCTTATTTCCAATATGAAAATCAATTCATGCCTTAATTTCTCCAGTGAATCATCTGTAAGCATCCCATTTACTTATTTCTGCAAGTGATTTTTAAAATCCTCATTTCTCTGCTAAAGTCACTTCCAGATATTTTTAAATGAGAATAAACAGGGCACATACTCTCAATTCATAAAGATGACACTCAGTACTATTCTGTGTCCAAAACAAGTCATCTCATAATAATGTTTCTAAAAAAAGAAGTAAGAAAGAAAAATACCCCCTATGAATACTTACATGCAAATCAGACATAAATAACACAAAAGGAAAGTTCAAGTGTGTTGTTTTAAGAAGCTTTCCAGGACTCCACTCCTATTTTTGTTTCAATTCCCTTCATGTCATTCAACCCCAGCTTCATTAAACAAAGTTTCTATTCTAAAATGTTCTTTTAGCCAAATATCAAGTTGAATGTTCACTTTGCAGCATGGTAAACATGGGAGAACATTTATCCTTCTATCTTTGGCTATAAACATTACAACAGACATTATCCATAATCTGCAATGATTCATTCCCAATTTATTTTCCCCACCAACTTCCCTTGGGCAGAAAATCAACTTTATATGACTAAGCCAAATCTTACTTTCTTCTTTTTTTTAACCAGTTTGAGGTTTGTGCACCTTTGTATTTAAACTAAATTCAAGGAATTCTTGAAAAATTATTTTCTTTTCAGAGGGAAAGTATTGGGTACCATTTGATTGTAATCCGGTTGTTTTGTTGAGAACATTCACATTCTAGATGTGGAGCCTCACTTTCTGCAGAAACCTGAACAACTTTTATACTTCTCTTTGGTGACTTAGCTCTGACATAAAGGCCTGTGTGCTCTGACTGTAGCATTGTAAGACAATGACCACAACAGATATATCATCTTAGCCATATTGAAGTGTAAATATACTCAGGGGACTGTGCAGCTCTGCCCATCATCCCACAATGACATGCTAATGCTCTGTGCCCCTTTCCTTCCAGGCTCTAGATTCACCAGTATTCTTTCTGATTCTGCGAGTTGACTCTCTAGGGATCTCATCTGCTTCTCTACACGGACATCTCCCTGTCGTTTCGTCTTCAGCGGTCCAGGACTAGATTTTTTTCTCCTGCCACACTCTCAGCCCTCTCTCCCTGCTTTTCCTGTCTCAGAACGGCACCACCATGCACCTGCATTCAAAAGTCCCAAGTTAGTTTTTGAAGGACTGTGCTATTGTAATAACTTAGATTATAATAATATAGGGGAAATCAATGGAAGGAGGAGATTGTGAGGGTGGAATCCCTGAACCTATGGAATTATAGAATAACAGATAAATTTTTAAAAGCCCCAAGTCAGCCCCAAACTTCTCAGGAGCTGAAACAGGCAGGTACCATCTTCTCCAAGGCTGCTGCCTAAGTTTCCTAGTTTATCCCTTCCCCAGGAGCAATCCTTCCAAAATGCAAATCTTACCAGGTTCCTCTCTTGCTCAAACCCCACCTCCCCATTGCTTCTAGGATCAGATCCAAATCCTTCAGATGGCTTGGCACACTACCTGCTTACCCCTTCAACCTCATTGCTAATTGTTGGTTCTTTCCTTTGCCCTACACCCTAAATTCCAGCAGGATTGGCTTTTTTCAGTTACTATAGTTCCCATCCACTCTCACCATTCCCTCTTCGTGACTCACTCACCTACTCCCGTTCCTTTTCCCCTGCCTTGCTGCTTTGTTCTCATCTTTCAGATCTTCATGATCGCTGAGCCTGCCCACATTGATGGAACAATTGTTATGGGTGGAGTACTGCCCTGAACTCTTGCATGTGTCTATGCTACTTAATCCTTATAATAGCCTAATGGAAAATTTGCAATTATTAACCCCATTTTTAGATAAGGAGAAATCAAGGTGCATGCCCACAGCTACACAGCTTTTACACAGCAGAACCAGGATTGAAACCTTGGCATTAGGTCCAAGCCCCAGTTCTTCACCACTGATCTGTACGTGCTTATCAATTTAGCTGCCACTTCCTCCAGGATGCCTTCTCTGATTGCTTATATATGACTATTTATTCCTCTACCACAGAACAAATCAAACCGTGCTATAATGTGTTTCTAGGCTTGAGACAAGTGCTTGCCATTATCATTCTTACAGTTGTTACAGGACTTGGGAATCCAGTGAGGACCAGGGACTTATTTAGGGAACTGATGAAAAGCAGATCCACAGTGAGTGTTTTGAGTGAGTGAATATATGAATGCCTAACACTCTGAGAGTTGTAAATGGATTAGAACAAGAATGTCCCTAGATCCACTGAGGGAAAGAATCCACAAATATCTAGAAAAACGGTCATTGTTTCTCTTCTTGCAGAGAGGAAATAAAGGTTAAAAAAAGAAAAAGGGTAGAGGGGATGTGGGAGGGAGAAAAAAATCTTTGATGGATGTCAAATAACTATTTCTAGAAAGCTGTAAAAATGTACATCTAACTTTTAACCTTTAGGTAAGCTCAAAATGCTTACCATAGAATGACCAATCCCTGAATTCTGATCAAGGGACACCTGCACACTTCTGAAAGCTTTCAGCGGCTCTTTCCCCTCCCCACACCCAGCCTGCTTTCTTGATGGAATTAATCATTCCACAAAACATCTCTACATGATTAGGGTTAATTACAGATCCTTAAGACCTCTGAATGAATATACACTAACATTATCCTTGAGAAAAGATTACCAGCTTTGAGGAAATATCTTTCTTGGTGTCTATGGCAGAATTCCTAGGTCACTCAGGGTATTGAGCAGGAGGGCATATATTCAATGATACCTCCAAATATCACTCCTTTCTCAATCATTAGAACAGGGCTTTCAATGCATGGTCAGCCTGGGTAGTCCTGGGAAGAGGACATGACAGCCCTATGCTTGTGTGTTTCTTATCTCTCCTCTTACCCACTCAAACTTGTCACTGTGCCTGGCCCACCTCCATGCCCTGGGAATAGAACAGACCCCCCAAATCCTTTCCCTCTGCAGGCTTATATTCCCCAAGCATGTAATTCCCTTCCAGAACCCTTCACCTAGATGCTTGCAATGTGTTATGTTATTTTTAAGTTTTGTTTGCTTTTTTTATGATGAAGTAAAAAGGAATGGAGGATTGTGTCTGACACTTCAACTTGAAAGATTCATGTTACTTCCTTGTATAGTTTCAATAGACCTAAAAGGTATATGCATTGTCATACTGGAACTGTCCTTGATGACCCAGTCACAGGGACGGAAATTCCCAATGCTCAGCTTTCTTGGCAGCTGAGAATAGATCGAGAGCAGGAGCTGGAGCTGCGAGCAGAGGACAGCAGTGCCACGACACATCCACTTCACTTTCCATCTTACCAGCATAACCTTCAGACCTTGCCAGCATGTGGCTCCCACACCCCCGCAGCCCTGAGCTGCATTCTCCATTCAGGATAGGAAATAGAAGGAAGGATATTGGAAGCACAAGTTAAACTTAAGTTGTTCTCTCTACATCTTAAATAGCTGGAGGACTCTACAGAATTGATGAGCTCATCTCCAAAGGGGACTGCGTGATGCAGAAAGTTGTGCTCAAGGCTATTCTCTTGTGAATGATCATGGAGTTCTGTGATCATCAGAACAGGTTCTTTTGTTTTCACAAGGTTAACACAAGAAATTATTTTTTTAACTCATGTTTAATTATTTGGGATCTTCCTGTCCAGAGTTTAACATCAACATTGGTGGGAATTAGAGTCTAAAACATTGATATAAATGCTGTGTTTACTTTTCTTCCCCTCATGAACACCAACCCCATGTTTCTTTCTAAAATTTCACTTTTTCCTGTTCTGTGCTCAGGGTCATAAATCAATATGGGTGCCTGGTGACCTGCATAGGTGTTTGAAATTTAGGGACGCTCCTGGGCCCCCAGCACTGCCCTATGACAGGACAGAATTTACTCTGACCTCTGAATCGTATGCTGGTTCTTTCTCATTTTTATAGGCTTTGAGAACTCTGAGCTGTGAGTACAAAATGGAAAACGTGACCAGAATGGTGGTGTGTGACCTTGGAAACCCTATGGTGGCTGGAACCAATGTAAGGAAAACCGGAAGTATTTGCCGATTTCTGCCTCATTAATTTTAAGAGAACACTAATGGAAAGCTCCCCAATTAGCTCTCAGGAGCTCAGCACAAAGCAACTAAAACAAATTAGACAGGAAATCACCAGCGGGGTGGGATTTAGATTGAAAACCCACACAGAGTGAATCAAGTCAGGTTGAAAACACACAGAAAAGCATAGACTTTTATAAGCTTTCTCTTTAGACATGATGGCTCCTGTGGGACTCAACTGCAACCAATCTATGACAAATTGTTTTAATACAGTATATCTTTTGTTGAAATTTACCAAATATTTTTTTCTTTGAATTAACGAAAATGGAAGAATATTTTAAAATTGTAAGACAAGGATATCATTCACAGTATTTTTATATTAAAATGTTACTACAGTTTAGAACTTTGATTTACTTATTTTCATTTTCTTATTTGAAAGCCAAAGAGACAAAGAAAAATAGAGACAGAGATCCTCCAATGGTGATCCTCAAATATTTTCTATGGCCAGGGCTAGACAGGGCCAATGCCAGGAGCCAGGAATTTCATCCAGCTCTCTCATATGAATAGCAGAAACTGAACTACCTGAGCCATCTTCTAATCTAGTGCCTCCCTGAGTTTTCATTAACAAAAGGCTGAGTTGGAAGCAGAGCCAGGACTCACACCCAGGTATTCTGATTCACAGGCATCCCAAGCAGTAATAACTGCTTTGCCAAACGTTCATCCTTACAATCCAATTTTTTAATCAGCTTTACAAAAGTCTATATTTCTCATTGCCTCACTTGAATAATAATACAGAAAACTGTTAGTAACAAGGGCAAGAAAATGTTAACAGAGATCTCCAACATGCTTGTAAAAGAATGGAGATTTTATGTCCCTCCTACTGCCATTTCTTTTTATTCCCAGGTTTAGGAAATTTCAATTCAGGATTATTTATGGACAATCAATTTATTTTAGGCAATTACAATTTTTTTTAATGTATACACAGAATTACCACAGTGGTGATTATTTTATGAAGTCATAAATCAGAAAAAGTCTTCAATATTAAAAACCATAGAATTATCTTATATAAATTACATGTACATATTTTTCTATTTAAAATTAACTATTGAAAGTATCTAGCCTAGTGGTTAAATGCTTGTGCCTCACATTGGGGTGGTTACATTTGATTCTTGGCTCAAGCTGCAGACTAGCTTCTGTCTAATGTAGACCCTGACACTAGCTCAAGCGATTGGGTTGCTGCCACCCACATGAGAGACCAGGGTGCATTCCTGCCTCCCAGATGCAGTCCCGACCCAGCCAACGCTGTTGAGAGCATTTAGGAAATGTACTTGTAGATGGGAGCTTTCTCTGTCTTTTCCTGTGACTGTCCTTATCTCTCTGTTTTCTCTTAAATAAATATAAAGGATGTCACTTAAAATGTTTATGATTATTAATGATGTAAGCTATCTGAAAAAAAAATCCATGAAAATTTGTAATTGTGTAGAGCAACTTTCTGAAGTATACTCCACAGGGTGCTAATCCCTTAGCTAGCCTGTAAAAGGGAGTGCTCTGGTCCCTGCACAGAATCACTTCTATCTTGGCATGTGGATATTTGTATGTTTACAGTGTTGTTAAATAAGACATTCAGCCCAATGTCTGACATATTTTCCTGAGCATTTCAAACTTTCTCTCAGTATCTATCCCTAGTGTATATTTTAGGCTATTATCCTAGAATAATACATTTGCTCTTTAACACTGTGTGTGCACTGAATTGGGGTATTGAAAAAATCGTGACAGACTATAGTCTAAACTCACTTCATAGGTCAAAATGGTCATTGAAAGAAAGATAAATTCCTGTATCAAATTGTTACTGGTTACCACGGATTGATTGTCTTCTGGGTTACAATCCAATGGCTAAGGAATGGGAGGGCATTTTTCCAAACAACCCTCTGAGTCACATATTTCCTCCATGTTGTGGGTGAGGAAACTGAGGCCCAAGAAGTCACTCCACTGCCCAAAGCCACACTGCACCAGGATCCAAGCCAGGCCTAACCGCAAAGCCCATGTTCTGCATCCGGTCTGCAACAATGTCAGAAGTGCTTGGATGAAAACTAACGAATAACAGATGAGACTTCAAAATGAAGCTATGAAAGATGTCTAAACTGAGATATGCAAACATTTTTCATTATAATCCTTTTATCTGGAAGATAATAAATTCTGTTGCTGGTTCTGAGGAAGAATCCAACCACTGAAGTTGCAGTAAAGAGGTTGACCTAAGGCCAAAGGGAAATGCATGGACATGGCCCAGAGAGGGTTAGCATGTGTAAGTGACCAGCCTCTCATTCCTGTTTCCCTATTAGAAGCATTATATCTAGACTAAAGATCATTTTAGGTGATCCATAATGAAAGATAACCTTGGAACAAAAACTTGCCACCAGTGTCACTGAAAGGAGAGTGTAAAAACAGCAGTGTGGTCTGAACCACAATGTGTTTATGTCAGGGATGTCGATCTATGTTACCAGAGGAGTAAATTGTTTGTAGAAGTCAGAGGAGTAAATTGTTTATCTTCCTTTATCTCTGAAGCCTATAGCAGAAGAAACCTAATAGCTTTCTTATCTCACCCTTTAATGCCCTGAAACACATCAAATTTTATTGCATTCTGTTTTGTTATAAAATGCTTTGATTTATGTACTTCTTCATTTGTACTTTAGAAAAAAATACTCTCAGTGAATTGTAGTAAAATTCCACATGGAAAAGCCATCCTAAGTATTTTAAAAGGCACTATAATTGCCAGGAACATCTATTCCAGTCCCAATACTTTATATAAAAAGTGATTTTCAAGTGATCTTTTATTTTAATAAAATATTCAGTACAATATTTAGAAACTTGTGATTTTTAGGTAGTAATGTCACTTTCATAAATGCATCTGTAGTTATATACTATTTTTAGTCAAAAAGAATCTCTCAAATTTTCTCAAGCAGGACAATTTAAAAAATGGTGTGCTCTCTTTCGGGTCAGTGCCCAGAGAGCTTGTGTTTAGAACACCCTGGCCTCCACCATATAGGAAACGGTCTTGCTGAATGGTCCCATCATGAAAAGCAAGATTGGATAGCTTCCTTCATAGTGTAGTAAGATTGTCATCATTGGAAGTGTGCAAAAAGGGGCACACTCTCATCACTCTTTCAACAATTTTGATTATTTCTCTTCTATACATCTGCTACTAAGCTAGAGTCTGACAGCATAAAAATGAAAATATGCAAGCACCATTTTTGATCGCCTCACTTGAGTATCAATACAGAAAAATGTTAGCAAGAAGCTCACAATTAGCAATACGAAGACCCAGTGGTGGGAGAACAGCAATGGATGGGACAGAATGAAGAAAACCTCTCTACCTGGGTGATCAGAGGATGGATGGCAGGAGGCATTTCTTGTCTTGACCTCTGACGCTTGAGGAAGAGTTCTGTAAGGAGAAAAGGCAGAAAAGAGTCAAAAGGCATCAAGCAATGGAGAAGAGAATGTGCAGATGTTTAGAGGAATTCCTCATTCCTGGGCCCTAGGGATGCAGATGCTTTCAACTGAGATACATCCAGTGTTGAACACCAGTTTTGCCATTCCTCAGCTGTGACACCTTGAGCATATCACAGCAAAATGGGCAAATACCAGTAGGAGAATGTTTGGAGTACAAGAAGCAGACTGAGATAAAGCCACTGGTGCAGCTCCTGGCTTACAGCATTCAGCAAGGGCAAGTGACATGATGAGGATGATTTGTGATTAAAGTGGTAATTAAGTATACATTCATTATTAGTGATGTACATGGTCATGAGTTTTCCTGGTTTCAGTGTCACACTGCAGTGGTTTAGAGTACAGTTTCTGGAGCCAGCTTCAGGGATTTAAATTCCAGCTCTGTCATTCATTTGCTCTGCACCTGGAGCAGCACACTTAATCTCCCTAAGCCCGAGATTGCTGCTCAGTTGTAAAATGTCAACAAAAACTGCCTGCTTCAGAGTATTATTGGGATTGCATGAGATAGTGTGTGTAAAAACTCAACACAGTGTTTACAAGAGCCAGTAATGCAAATGTGTATACAAGCTAGCTATTATTTATCTCCGTATGTTTATCCATGTATTTACTTTTCTTCATGCTCTTAGGTACTTGCAAATTGTGAAAATAATAACATTTTTATAATCTTGGAAATTAAAGAAAGAAAAATAATGTACATAACCATAATTTTCACCTACCCATAACATTATTACTCCAGGATATTTTGTTATAGCATATCTGCATTCCTGTTCAATAATTTTTCCATTAATAGACTCTTTGGATCATAGCAAAAACCCATTGTGCACAAAGCTTTGTAGTCTCATTTTTTCATTAATCATTATTACATTAGAAGAGCTTTCCCACTATTGCATTAAATTCACAGCTATAATTTCCATGACAACATAAAGGCGCATCAAACAGAGACGTCCTAGTTTTTCAAAATCAATTTGCTCTCATACATTTGGTTGGTTTTTGGGTTAACACATAAGGAAAGTGGCGGGAAATGAGGGAGTGTGGGACTAGCAAAGAGAGAGAGAATCCACACATTCAGGTCTCCAAGCCACACATTCTCCTTGCTTGACATTCTCTGGGCTCTTAGCCACCCAGGGGTAGAAGCAGAGAAAAATGCAGTCACAGGCTCCAGGGAGGGACTTTTAACAATTGCTTGGGAAACATTATTATACTGGGTAGAGAGTCCTCCCCATGTACTGACTTTATGACTTGTGGTTATTTTTTCAGTATTCCCTGGGCCTCCGATTTGCAGTTCCTCGCCTGGAGAAAACAAACATGAGCATCAACTTTGATCTCCAAATCAGAAGGTTAGGCTTTCAATGTCCACCTTACCAACTGAATTCAAGAGATCCAAGTGGACTGATGTCCACTTGTCCAGCTCCCTCACCTTGAAAGTTCTTTTGAAATTAGATCATTTCAGACTTTTCAATACTTTTGACTCTGACAGGGAGATCACATTTTGTTAGCCAAGCTGCAGAAGAAGATTTTGTCCTGTGCACCACTCATCCTTCATTCAGAGGCACCTGCCTTCTCTCCCTATGACCATAGCCTGTGCTCTCAGCTGTCACTAACCCTGGAGAGCAGAATCTCTTCCCCCACCAAAAAAATCCCCATGGAGTGTGCATCTGCAGTCTTGCACTTTCCTTAAGTTTAAGAATGACTGGGTTGATAATGGTTTACTGGAAGCACTATGGTGCTATGGCAGGATACAGAAGAGATAACAAGTCTGAAAAGATTTCTAAAAGTTAATGAAAAAATTAATTAGAAGGTCTTTATTTTGGTGCAAAACATTTTTTTCCTGCAATTTGTGCATAGTGTTGTAAGTCACGTTTTCTGTGAACTTTGGAAGACCACGTGTGTTTTAGGGCAGGGCCTCCCCCGACTAGAAACTGGACCTGCAGGTGCCTGCTTTCCCTTTGGGGATGAGCCTGCCCAAGGATTACTATGTCTTCACTTCTTTCACTGTCTCTTCTTTTTGTGGCTTTATGGAGGAATGTAATAGTTCAGGAGCACAAAAGCCTATAGAGCCATGGCCAGGTTGTCCCATTTGTGGATTAAAATCCATTAGCCAGGAGTGAAGCCAAATTAATGGCTCTAGACCCATATTAAAAGACATAGAATGGGATGCAATATGCATACAACTTATGGTTACTTTAATGTTCTTCATGCAACATAGATAAATGTTACAAAATGTATAACAAAATGCTCCGAGAGAGGCATAATTTGTGTGTGTGTGTGTGATCTGTAGTTTCAAAAGTTTGAAAAATCCTAATACAGATATACCTTCTCCCACTCTCACCACTCTCCGTGCTCAGTTGATATCCCTGAACTCTGGGAACAAAATCCCTTCCACAAAAAAGCACAGATTTTTTTGCACCTGCAATCTTGAAGTCTCTTCAGTATTCAAGAATGAATGAGGGAGGCTCACAATCAACAGCTATTTCCACTTTTCTCGGTGTGTTGAATCCTTGCTTTAACTGTAGAAATTACTGTCTAAATTGGTATCTTTAACTTAGCTCTCAAACACTAGCTCAACATGGCTAATTTCTAAATGTTCTGTAATATTTTGCAAAAATGAGTCATTACAACATGCTTTTAGAATAAATACTCTGTGTCACAGACTTTAAATGTTTACATCAGTAAAAAGTTTCAGAGAGGAGTGGACTTTCATTGTGCAGTGAGTTAGGCCACTATGTAATATATGTCCTGCAGAAGTGAGCACTAAGCATCTACTTAGGATGCCCAAATCTTGAGAGTGTTGGTTCAAGTCCTGAGTCCTTTACTTCCAATCTAGCTTCCTGCCAATGTGCATAGGAAGGGAGTGGATGACAGCCCAGGTACTAGGATTCCTGCCCTAGACAGGGAAGACCCAGATGGAGGTCCTGGTTCTGGCAGACATTTAGATAGTGAATCAGAAGGTGGAAGAGATTCTTTCTCATTCTGCCTTTCAAATAACTAAATAAAGATTTTAAAAGCTTAAAATATTTACAATGTATTGTTATTTTAAAAATATATAATGAATATACATTTTAGTTGTATTTTAAAATACAAATATAATCTGCTACTATAAATATGTGTATGTATTTATATTACATGAGAATGTAGATTATAAAAATGAAACCTGTGTCACAAATCAGTCCTCCCAGACTTCATGACTTCAGATTTCATTTCTAAGCAGGATATTTTTCTAATTTATCTTCAGTGTCCTTTCGTGGCCTGAATTAGGCGTTTCTTAAGTTTACCTAAGATATTTTCTGCTGAGTCTTAGAAGTTTTCCCATTTTATACTAATTAGTGATAGAATCATTTTACAATGATACATTTGATAAATGCACATTGAATCACTTTTTTGTATCTCCACAAATATTTGAAAGTTGTAGAGGGCGTGACATGCCACATGATGGAGGTATTCCTAAATATTTTTATTTTGGAAGTAATCTGGCCATATTTCTGAGTTTTCAAAAAATAAACAACAACAATAAACTAAACCAAAACAAAACAAAGCAAAAAAAAAAAAAAAAGAGAGAGAGAACATATCATAGTAAAGGATCAGCATGATTCAAGCCTGAACTTTGAAATGTTAGTCATTGATCCTTCAGTGACTCGGGGAAAGACACACCTCTCCTAACATGTACCCTCCTTCATTTAGAAAGAAAGCCTGGCACAAAGGGCAGAACAAATTCATTGATATTTCCTTCTTTTTTTTTAAGATTTATTTTATTTTTTTATTGGAAAGGCGGATATACAGAGAGGAGAGACAGAGAGGAAGATCTTCCATCCAATGATTCACTCCCCAAGTGAGCGCAATGGTGGATGCTATGCTGATCCAAAGCCAGGAGCCTCTTCCAGGTCTCCCACGCAGGTGCAGGGTCCCAAAGCTTTGGGCCGTTCCTTGACTGCCTTCCCAGGCCACAGGCAGGGAGTTGGATGGGAAGCGGGGCCGCCGGGATTGGAACCAGCACCCATATGGGATCCCGGGGCGTGCAAGGCGAGGACCTTAACCACAGCGCCACCACACCAGGCCCGATATTTCCTTCTTATCCTTGATTGTAGTTAAGAGGATGGATGCAAATAGTAGTTCATTCAGTAAACCAAGAACACTAGATAATGTCCTGAATGCCTTCTCTAATCCATCATTTACACAATGAGTTCAGAAATGAAGTTCAGAATTTGAGGGAAAAAAGAAAAGGAGGCATTTTTAATATCTTCCTTCATATTAAAAAAGGAGCCATGATTATATTCAGTTTCCTCTCATGACAGTCTTAACATCATCCAAAAACAACCCATAAAAGTGAAAAAATTAGAAAAGACTGGAGCATTCATAAAATACTCAATTCCCAAAACATAGATTTTAGAGACAAAATATAATACTTTTAAAACTCAAATGCTTAGGTGTTTGAGAAGTAAGCATATTGACAGACTCCAAAGATCAAGTAAGTATTTAGATGGATGGTTTTGCATTGGGTTTAAATGTATTTAAACTAAAAATATAAGCTATGTCAAACTCTCTAAAATCTAAATAGCCGTATCTTAATCACCCTTTAATCACACTTAATGCCCTTTTCCACAAAACCTGAGAGAAATGGGCTTTATAAATTAATAAATGTGAAGCATTTCCCTTAATCAAATGTTTGCATGAGATGGTCTCTCTGTGTCCTTGGTCTATGAGATGTAAACAATTTCATCCCTGTGTAGAGTGGGTCTTTGTGATCATGCTTGAACTTGGCTCCGTGGCAGTGGTGAAATGAGATTGGGATGGTCTTTGTAGACATTCCAGAGAAATAGAAATATAGAAAGCATAAAGGGGAGGCTAGAAAAAATGAAATCAGAAACACCAAGGAAAGAGAAGATAGCACGGGAATACTAAAATGAAAAACTTATTCAGCCTTTGGCACCTGACCACAGGATGTAGCCGTAGGAAATTCATCATTGCTTGCATAGAATTAGCACTGACAATATAAATGGCTCTGCATCCATGGCAGTGATGCAGTGCTTGTCTCAATGTCACAGTGGTATTAGCGAGGGAGGTTTCCTTCCAGGAAATTGGTGAAGGAAACTTCTAAGTTATTTATCAAGTCTGGCTCTTTTCCTAATAGGAGATTTTGTCTGTGCCACTGGGCAGACAGAAATGAGTGCAGTGGGTTGATTCTGATTGGTCAACCAGAAGTTCGGAAATTGTGAGACTGCCATTGTTCTTGCAACATTTCTGAGGTCTAAAGACCTCAAATCAAACTTGGCTTCAAAGATGATTTCATTGTTTTTCAACATCTTCAGGGTGTTGAGAATAGTAAAATTGTGTTATTCAAGTCACTTAAAAACTAAACGTATTAGCATTACGCAATAACTTAAATGAATTTTTTCTCACGATTTTAATTTCCATTGCTACACAGCAGTAGCGAACTAAGAATACAACTAAGTTTGGTCCATCTGTGGAAAAATTGTATTTTGGTTTCTAGGCTAAAGAGTTACCCACAACACTTTCATAACCATAAAATCTGCAATAAGATTTATTTAGTAACTTCATGCTGGTTATGATTCAGAATCCTACCTCTAAAAGAAAGAAGGCTCTTTAGATGGCTGACCCTCCATAAATGTGATAAAAAAAAATGGCCTGGAAACTGGGGCTCAAACTTTAAAGAGCAAGTCCCTCTGGGCTCAGTCACAAAGTTAGCAGTGATGCCCAGTACAGGAAATGAGCCTGACATTTTCCTGTTTATATCTTTTATGTGTGTTTGTGCTCTAAATTGCCCTATCAGTATATAGATCAACCAAGATGCTTTAAAAGCATTGTGGGAACAATTCGGTCTCTTCCTTCTTTCAAAGCATCTTTCTGTCATATAGCCTCCCCGCTCCCCCCCACTCCCCCCCCCCCCCAGACACACACAAACACATTTAGAAAATCTCAGAAGCTAGCTGGAATCTACCTGCACTACCATTATCCCAAGATCTAATCTTGCTTGTTGAGTTTAGGGGAGGCTCACTGATGAAGAAAGGGGAGGCTTTCTCCTCTTCATAGACTGGACTGTCAGCATGATCTGCCAGTGCTGATGTGACCACATCCCTGTTTCCTAGAAGTTGCCTAATCTCCTGGGTGATCTCAGGGAAAGCAAAGCAGGGCAATGAATACCGAGACAGTGGCATCCAAGGTTCTGTTACTGGTTGAGCCACTTGGGAAAAGTCGTGTCTTATTTTCCTTCAGCACTGACTGCTTAACACATGTGTTTCTAAAAGTCAAGCTGCCTATCCAATTATTTTTGCTTGAGCAAAACAACTTTGCACTTGTAAAGAAAGCGCACAGAAAGCACTCGGATGCCTTTTGCAGACTTCTGCATCCTCTCCTTGTGGCCTGCTTTTGAACTGCCCTCCTTGCTTGGGTCTTGCTCCTTTCACCATTGGCCATGCTTCTAGCCCATTCCCCACTCCTTGGCCTAGTCAGCCAGTGAGTATCAAGTGAGTGTACACTTACTTTAATATCAACTTAAGAAATAAACTCTAAGGAAAATAAAATTGCTGCCAAAGCAACGTATGGTATTATGCATTCCAGAGCCAAATGTGAATGCTTTTTCGATTATGTGCCGCTCCGGATTACTCATGCCAGTTCTCCTCTTGATTAGTGTAGAAAATCAGCAGTTGACTTTGCTGTCATTTCCTATTTGATGGGCAATGAACATGATACCCAGGGATGTTAAGGAATTTGTCCAAGGTAGAAATCAGAAAATGAACTCAGTTCAATGCCTTTTTAGTTTAGCCATCAAAATAACAACAAAAAAAAACAGTGTTGGCATCTCAGGATATCTACTACATTTCCAGATAAATTGTCCCTTCATGGAATGTTGTTACATTGCCATGTATCATGGGATGTTAGCATTTCCCTTTACACATGGTTATGATTTTGTAGAATAAATATTCCATTGTTTTCTGAATGACCAGTTTAGTTATGTAGTATTTTTGTGATATAGAGAACATTGTGTGAACATGTATTGTGATAAAACATCTGAGAAGATATGTTAAAATTATGTATCATTGTGTTTCAGTTCCAACAAGGACAACCCAGACAGCAACCTTGTGAGTTTGCAAATCAACATCACTGCCATAGCTCAAGTAGAAATAAGAGGGTAAGTAATATAAACAAACAGTGGTGGTAGTATAAAAAACAGCTTTCTGCATTTAAAGAAACTAGTATAAACTCTATGGGATTTTCCTAATGCTGAAGAGGTCACAGTTCACTTGGTGTATTAATTTTTTATCATTTTCTACTCATTATTAGCTCTTCATTTGTAAAGAGACTGCACACTGTAAAATATTTTTTTCTTTCCCAAACTGAAAGTACAGTAAGCAGACTACAAAAAATATTTGATAAGAAGCCAGATGAAGTGGACAGCCATGACTGCCTGAAAAAAAAAATATCACTCCTCCAATGACTATTTTAACATAATGAAAGTTTAGCCCTCACTGTACCACAATCTGAATTTCTTAAGTGGCCAACTCTTAGATGTGTGGGCCAATGAAATCTACATTTTTAAATCTTTTCTGTCCTATTGTTTGAGGAAGGTGCCAATAAGCAATCAGATGAGAGACAGGAAAAAAAAATTGTCAAGGAAAAAGGGTTGGAATGACTACCAGCTGGAAAATTCTTGCCCAGGGAGAAAGAAATGCACTGCATGTAGTTCTTATCTTGCACAAACGTGGACTTCCTTGTTTTTTGTTGTTAAACTGCTGGTTTCTTCAGTACAATCAAGGACTTGGCTGAAAAGACAGTTTACTGGTATTTTGGACCAAATATCCTTGGTGTTCCAAAAGTCCTGGTTCCCTTCATTTTCCTTGGGTCCTGAGTGGTCATGTTCTCCCACATCACAACTGGCTTTCTACATCCAGAGCCCCTGTCACTATGGGCTCTCTGACCCCTGTCCCTTGGTGTTCTCCTTGGGACTCAGCAGCTCCCCTTGTGGATTAAAAAATACAACTGCTTACTAGTGATGTTTTCTAAGTGCTGTTTCCTGTAAACACATTTTTTTTTTAAGATTTATTTTTATTGCAAAGTCAGATATACAGAGAGAAGGAGAGACAGAGAGGAAGATCTTTCATCTGCTGATTCACTCCCCAAGTGAGCACAACAACTGCAGCTGAGCTGATCTCAACCCAGGAGCCCAAAGCCCCTTCTGGGTCTCCCATGCAGGTGCAGGATCCCAAAGCTTTGGGTCGTCCTCAACTGCTTTCCCAGGCCACAAGCAGGGAGCTGGATGGGAAGTAGAGCAGCTGAGATTAGAACTGGCTCCCATATGGGATCCTAGCATGTACAAGGTGAGGACTTTAGCCACTAGGCTATTATGCTGAACCCTGTAAGCATATCTTAATTTTTGTGCAGTTGAGGGAATTGTTGCATAGGAAGTTAAAGATTACATCGCCAGAAAATAGCGAGCTGTAAATATAGCTATATCCCATCTACAAGTTCATGCTCAGAAATGTCTATGCCATCAAGCCCAAGAAATCATTTTTGAAACCTTATCTACATATTTTTGTATTCTTCTGTGATATTCTTTATTCAAACATGACTTTTTGAAATTCTTCCATCTAGTTCATTAAGCTTAATTACAAAAAAGGAGTTACACTAAAAATATTCTATACCTTATCCTTTCTACTTGTGATGGAAATTTGAAACATTTTTCTCTTTTACAAATTCTTTTTAGAAATATTTATTTAGAGGCCAGTGCTGTGGCATAGAAGGTAACACTGCCACCTACAATGCTGGCATGCCATGAGCATTGATTCAATTCCAGCTGCTCCACTTCCTATCTATCTCCCTACTAAAGGGTCTAGCAGCAGAAGATGACCTGAGTATTTGGGTCCCTGCTCCCATTGGATACCTGGAAGAAACTCCTGACTTCTGACTGACCCCATCCTGGCTATTGTGGCCATTTGGGGACTGGCCCAGCAGATGGAAGACCTTAGTCTCATTTTTCTTGCACTCCCTTCTTTCCTCCCAGTCACTCCACCTTTTCAAATAACATTGTTCAAAAAGATTTATTTATTATTTATTTGAAAGGCAGAGAACGGGAAGAAGGAAAGCGTGGAAAAAGGAGAAGGAGAAAGAGCTTTCATTTGCTGGTTTACTTCCCGAATGGTCACAGTGGTAAAGGCTGTTCCAGGCCAAGTATGGAAGAAACCTGTAACTCCATCTGGGTCTCCCATATCGGTGGCAGGGACTTAAGGACTTTGGGCATCTTCCACTGCTTTCCCAGGAGTGTTAATGGGGAGCTAAATCTAAAATGGAGTAGCTAGGATTTAAAATGCCGGTCCATATGGAATGCTGGTGTTGCAAGCAGCGGCTAAATTCACTGCACACCAGCCCCTCAGAAGCGTCTGTGATCATGTCTCCTTGTACACATGTGGAAGTGTCAGCAGGATATACCTGTATCAGTAGAATTCCAGGGTCAAAGTGTACACACATTTATTTTCCTTGCCTTATTGCATAGACTAGGAACGCCAATGTAAAATGGACTAGAAGTGGTGAAAGGAAGATCCTTGCCTTGTTTTCAATTTCAAAGTCTTTCAGTCTTTTACCAGTAAGTTTGTAAATGTCCTCCCCCCCAGTTAAGTGTGTTCTTTCATTTCTCATTTTCTTGAGAACTTTTAACATGAGCATGTAATCAAATTTTGACAAATACTTTTTCTGGACCTATAAGCATGTTTAAAGTTTTTCCTTTTGAGTCCATCAAAAGGAACATGGCGAATTGGTTAGTTCACTTTTGATTTTTAAACCAGAATTGCATTCTGGAGCAGAAGTATAGTTGACCATGACGATTATCCATTTTTATATATTCTGGAATTCAGTGTGCTAGAATTGTGTTTGTGACTTTTGAGTCCATGTTCATGAGTATTATCTGTGGGATTCTTACAATGTCCTTTTCTGATTCTGGTACCAGAATAATACTAGCCCCATCAAATAAGTTGGGAGCATTCCTCCACTCTAGAGGAGTTTGTAAAGAGTTGGTATTATTTCTGCTCTAAGTATTTAGTTAATTTCACCAATGAATGGGGATGTTTTCATAGGAAGACTACTAACAAGCAATTTCATTCTTAGATAGAAGGCTAGTCATAGTATCTTTTTCCCCTACTAAGGGAAATGGTAGCTTTTTATTCAAGAAATTTGTCCATTTCATCTGAGTTTGTGTAGTAGTGTAAAAGTTGTCTATAATGCTCTCTCATTTTCTTTTCAGTATTTATAGGAGTTTTAATGATATCCTGTCCATTATTTCTGATACTGGCAACCTGTTTCTTTTTTTTCCTTCTTTCTTTCCTGATCTTTCTAGGAGTTTGTGATTTTTTTTTTCCAAATAAATAATTTTTGGTTTCATTTATTTTTCATTCTTTTTTACTTTTGTTTTTGTTGTTTATTCCATTGGTTTTGACTTTACTTTTTAATCTTCCTCCTTTTGTTATGTAGATAACATGTACATTTTTCTCTGGCTGCTATTTTAACAGTGGTCCCAAATGTTGAAATGTTTGATTTTCCTTATGACTCAGTTCAAAATATTTTCTAATTCTCTTTGTAATTTCTTTTGCGAATCGTTAGTTGAGTCTGGGGAAGTAACTGATTTACAGATATTTGTGGCTAGTCTAGAAGTTTTATGTGTTGATTTCTAATTTCATACCCCTCTTTTCTCAATGAGAAAAATAGTGCTTAAAAAAAACTGGAAAAAACACGAGCATTATTTCACATCTTTGTAAAATTTTTTATCTTTTTAAAAATTTGTAAGTAAGCATACATAAACTTTTGTCTCCTTCTTTAAGCTTGATTTATCTTATTTTTGTTAACCAAAAAATAAGTAAGATCTATTTCTTACTTCTGAAACAAACTCAAAATTAGGAAACGTTTTTATTCAATAAGACATGATTCAACCCATGGCAGCTAAGGGCTTACTGTACTGTTTGTATACCCACATATTCATTTTATGAGATTTATATTTTGAAATTTACTTCTGCCATCATAATAGAAAAGAAGGAAATTTCTGGTTATTTTTGCCAATAAGCAAAAGAGATAATTAAAATCGTGTTTCTCATGTGTGTGCAATTGACCACAGTTAATTCTCTAAGACAGTGTTCTTTTTGCCCAATTTTTACAGCAAAACTCTTTCCTTCAAATATGTAGCAAAAATATTGGCTTCAATGTTTAATTTATCAGAGAACAAACAGCTACTATGTGGAAAACCTTCATGGCTAGTCTTTAAGAAAATTTAATTTGCTTTTTAGGTCAATTGTGTTTATTTCAAAAGTTTTTATGATGTACTATCTTATACAGTTTATTTCTATTTGCTGTTGTTTTATAGTCTTTAAAAAACTGAAAATGGATTCATTTCTTTGACTGGAAAAAATAGAACTGTTTCCTCAATTTCAAAGGTAGAGAACATCAAAATTGTCTTTAAACAGATTTATATGTCATTTTTTGGGTTAAAAAAATCACTTTACTATAATTCTATTAGAAGTCAATTTGATGTGCCTGGCGTAGTGGCCTAGTGACTAGGGAACTCAGCTTGTATGCGCTGGGATCCCATATAGGTGCTGGCTCTACTCCTGGGAGCCCTGCTTCCCATCCAGCTCCCTGTTTTTGTCCTGGAAAAGCAGTCGAGGACAGCAGACCCGCATGGGAGACCTGGAGGAAGTTCCCAGCTCCTGGCTTGAGATCGGTGCAGCTCCAGCCACTGTGGTCATCGGATGAAAGATCTTCCTCTCTCTCTCTCTCCTCCTCTCTCCTATATATCTGACTTTGCAATGAAAATAAATAAATCTTTAAAAAAGCAGTAAACTTGGCTACAAGAGCAGTAGCATTAGTGCTAACCTCAGGAAGAAAAAATGGCAGCCTTTCTTACATTTCAGGATTGTTAAGAGAGACTACAGACATGAATAACCATCATCTTCCTAAGATACCATCCACACCGAGTGACATTCTCCCATAGAGTGAAGGGTGGGTTTTGATTTTGAGATTAATAGGATGTAAAGACAAGATTAGGAGAAGAGGGTTCACATTGTGCTACCAAATCCTCAGGCTTGAGCTTCTAGAAACAATGCAGACTTTACCTTATCAAAAACTGTCCTTTTATTCTAAATAGATAAAAACGTAGGCACACAAAAACCTAGGCAAAATGTTTATGATGGCCAAATAACAGCTTATGATGGCCAAATAATAGTTTACGATGGCTAACATAATGTTTGTGATTTTTTTTTTTACAAGAGCCAAAATCTGAACACAACACAAACAGCATTGGTGATGAATGTTTAAAATTCGCATCCACACTGCAGAACACAAAGGAGTGGACGTTGACAGTCATTGTACTATTACATACAATGTCACATCTTGATTTTGTAAAATATTACCACTGGGGGAAGAGGGCACTGAGTAAAGTGTACTCCGCATCTCTGTTATTTAAAAAAAAAAAAAAAAAATTCGTTTGGAGAACAATGAGCAGAATTTCACTGATTTCCTTGGGACCTGTTCTTTGTCACAGACTCTCCAGATCCAACTAGTCTTCAATCAGGAAGTTGTTGAGTTTTGCGAGCCATACTCTCTGAATGATTCTAGAGATAATCTTTATTAGATTGTCACCTGCTGTTTTATTTTGGTTGCAGAGTTGCATCTGGCAGTTTTAGTTGTGCCTACTTATATCACTGCAGTTTAGGGACTCCAGTTGCTATTCCACATGAGGGATAGAGTGTATGGTACTTAGGATATTTGTGCTCTAAACCCAACCTGCAATCAACCCACTATTTTACCATATACCAGCTTTCCTTTCATGGACAAAAAGGAAGGGTTTCAAACACATTGACTCCATAGAACTTACTAAGGTCCAAAGACTCTTGACTGTGATCTTGGAGGATTTATGACCACAAATTTTTTTTGCAAGCAAAAATTTTCACAGAAAATGTGTTCGTCTTCTGTTCCATGTTCTCTGTTAAAAGTGGGTGGGAGTGGAGGGACATTTCCTTAGAGCCTTACAATGGATAATAGTTGCTGACCCTGGACTCAACGCTATGTTGCTGAGAATTAAGTAATTCTTTAGGTCATTCAGTCATGAAGACATTACCAGACCAGAAGCCCAGGGCCTCCAGCCTTCCCTGTGATGAAAGCAATCCGCTGTGTGCTGTGCCCCTCTCCTAGGCCACCATCATTAGTCTCTGCATTTGAGTTATCATCATCAAATCAAACTCAAAAGAGAACATGGAGTAATGACAGAGAACTATGGAGGTAGAGAATTTGGAGATATCAGCCCAGCAAAAGTGCGTCTTGCACTGTATATTGCAAATTGCACACTAAGATGTGGGCCAAGGGCTTTGCAGCTGAGCGACATTTCTGGGTTGTGAAATATCAAAGCATATTTCTCCCACCCACCTCTCGCAAACAATGCAGCCGTGTTAACTCCGACCCAAAGCATTTAAACTGTTTTCCAGTCATCTGCAGTACACAAGCTGAAGAGGTGATCATAATTTTCCAGATGAGGAAATGGAGACATGTAGACATTAAATTACTGATCCTAGGGTCAGAATTTAAACCCAATAAATTTTACTCTCTGCCTTAGAAAAAAATTACCCAGGGGAGGAGAGAAAAAAACAGTGTTTGAAGTTGCTAGGGGCTGTGGTCATTATCAGATGCCCTTAGAAAGGTATTTGAGGCCTCTGCTCAAAAAGCTGTTTTCTGTTGAAGCTGCTCTGAGTTGAAGGTGTAGGGTTCCTCTTCAAAATGACTTTTACCTCAAAACAGACAAATCAGGTTTTTCCTTTTTCTTTTTTTTTTTTTTAAGTCTATTTCATGAGTTCACATAAATGACAATTTGTAAACAGCTTTTCTTATGCAATAATGCCATGTGCCATATTTCATCCATACAATTCTCACTTTCAAGGTCAAAGTAGAAGGGAAAATATTCATGTCAAATTAACAACCCACCTGCATGATTACACTATTGGCATTCTCTGTTTCTCCTTCTCTCCTACCCTTGAGCTATTTATATGACAAGTATAGAATTCAGTCACACTTCATTTTGTTTTGGCTCAAGGTATGACTTTGTGAAAGGCATGACAGTATTCATGGGAAATCAAAGATATCTATAAAGGAGGAATACACAGTGGTCATTTTTCTACTCTGAAGTTTAACCAAAAGTTTTACTTCTTCAAAATCAGACATTTAACGCCTCATTCTGAATCATAGATTTTTTTTTCAGAATACTCCCATTTCTTGACATACCTTAATGCATGGGTTTTACTTCCTGTCTATATACATTTCAACATGCACAGGCAAGATAGGTAGCTACATCAACAAGTTATAATTTCTGTAGTCAATTATTCATCCCAAGAGTGGTCTCTGTTCTGCCCCCTAGTGTCTATGAGATGAAATGCTTAAACTAGTCAACCTTTGGTCTAGAGGTGTTTGAGAACCTGCAACAGATGCTTCTGATCATTCACTGCCATTTCTTTATTTTGCTGAACATCTGAACATCCGCTTTTAATATTTTTCCCACACATCCTTATTTGTTAAATAAATAAATTGAATATAATTTTAGACCAGTGCAACATCTTTTAGGTGGGCCATCATCAGCCATTAACACACCCTTCCCTGTTGCAGGGTCTCCCACCCGCCTCAGATCATTTTGCCCATTCACAACTGGGAACCTGAAGAGGAGCCTCACCAGGAGGAGGAGGTTGGGCCACTGGTGGAACACATCTATGAGGTACCCATTGTCTAAGCTGAAGTTGTGTTAGGGGGCTATCCTTGCCTAATGCTTTAAGACACCAATCTAAGATCTGAGCTTTACATGCTGGCTTGATTTGTGATATGTATGTAACAGATTGCAATAACTGCAGATACGATCACCTGCTCTTCATTTTGTCTTATGCTCTTCTCTTTATTTTTAAAGTTCTTTATTTTCTTATGAATATTTGAACAGCCTAAAACAAAAATAGCCAGCTCCATAGATTTTGTTTCTTCCTGCATTTTCAGATATCCTTAAAATCTTCCCATCTCTTAAATGGAAACTCACCAACCAGACTGAAAATTTTATGAATTATTTACTATTGTGCCAAAAATTCAAATACAACATATGACATAAGAGGGTGGCAAACATGTAAGAATAAATTTACTACTCACTTAAATATTCAAAATTAGGAATGAATAACTTATTCTGAGATTTAACATGGCTCATGGATCAATAATTGTTTTCCAGAAGCAAAGCAAGTGATGCAGCATTCCTTTCCCTTCAGATGGTAAACTGTGCATAGGGAAAAAATCTGTTGACATCTGAAACATTTGTACTTTTTTATGGTTAGAAACTAAAATATAGCAAATAGTGAGTTTAAGAGTTTTTTTTTTTTTAATAAAGTCACTGCTGTCAGTGCAGCATAGTTATTCCTGTTCATTTCCAGAGATCAGGAGTGGAACTCAGGTGAAACAGCGTACCAAGGCAATTCATGATTGAAGTTCCTTCTCAATGAATGCCTTCTGTTCCTTTCCTATGCCACTCATAGAACCCTTCTGATAAGACTGTGACAGTCATCCCAATTTATGGAGGACATGAATAGCGTTCTGTGGGATTCACATTAAAGCCATTTCAAAACTGATGAGCTGCTTACATCCATGGGGAGGAAGTCTCAACTCCTGTACCATGTCAGTAGGAAAACTTCTACCATCTGCCCTACCCAAAGATGGATTAAAGCTCTGCCTTAAGCTCCTCTGATAACAAAAATGATAACACAGTCCCAGAGCCACTGAGATTAGCAACCTCAGGTGGGGAGGAGGGGGACACAAAAACCTGTGGAATAATTTATTAGAGCTTGTGTGTGCTATTCTTGCTCAAGAGCAATGAAACTTCAAAGTTGAAAAAAAAAATGCAGACTCAGTCATTCCCTAGGGCAACCCTGATTCTAATCTCAGCATATGTGGGTTGTAAAAGTTGAGGGTGATTACCAGTCACGCCAAAAGCAATCATCAAATGTTTCCTAATGTCTCAAAATACTATTATCAGTGAATGCCATGCTTTTTGATAATGTGAATTAATAGGCCACCTAATACGTAAAAGCAATCATACATTAGTATATCGGTCATGATAATTGTCAGAACTGTAGGGAGGGAAAAAGACTCCTGCTAACTTTGAAATGAGTTTTGAAACCACAATAAATTTAAATGTGCTTAGTGTTGGGGGTGAACTGTTTTATGTCCCCTGAATATGAGACTCATATGTGAAAAATGGTCATCTCTCTATGAGATGTGGCCCTCCTCACTAAGATTTGCTGATTAGAATGAAGGGGAGGTCCAGCTTTGCAGTGTATACCCACAGTGAACTGTGATGAGTGCAAGGCCGCCTGGCTGTTGATGGATGGGCGATTCTCTGGGGGGTGAAAGAGAGTGCATCGCATATGGTTGCAATTGACAAGTCAGTAGTCAAGAAAGAGGAGCAAAGTTTCAACATAAAGAAAAAAGATCATGAAGTCTTACAATCATAATTAAAATGGCATTTTTGCACTACTCTTAATATGCATTTAAAGTAACTATCACAAGTATTAGACATAACTAATATGGGCTTCACACTAAGAACTTGACAAATCTAAGAGTTCTCTAAATGTCTGCACATAATATTTTCAGGGATCTTCTCTGAGTAGATTCTGTGTTTTCTTATTTTCCACATCCACAATCTAGATGACTTCAAAGCAGTAGTATGTGCTTTTTAAGAATGAATAAACAGCAGAGTTTGATTCCCTCCCCCTGTCTGGTGCTGTACTGTTCTATAATGTGTCTCTTGCTTGCAGCTGCACAACATTGGACCAAGTACCATTAGTGACACCATACTGGAGGTGGGCTGGCCATTCTCTGCCCGGAATGAGTTTCTTCTCTACATTTTTCATATTCAAACTCTGGGACCTCTGAGGTGTCAAACGAATCCTGATATCAACCCACAGGATATAAAGGTAGGAGTCTGGTCAAACTAGTAGCTTTGTTTATTTCTTATGGTAAAGAGAAAACATTTTAAAAGTGGCTTAGAGAGAGAGAGAGAAAAAAGCAAGGATCAAGCAGTTGGTCAAATAGTAAAGATGCCTGTGTCCCATATTGGATTGCCTGGGTTCAATGCCAGAATCTGGCTCCTAACTCCAGCTTCCTGCTCATGCAGACTCCAGGAGGCAGAAGTGATGGCTCAGATAGTTGGGTTTCTGCCACCTGCATAGGAAACCTGGACTGAGTTCCCAGCGTCGGCTTTGACCTGGCCCAGCCTCAGACTTTAGAGGTTTTGGGAAAATAAATCAGGGGATGGAAACTCTTTTTCTCTGTGTGTCCTTCCCTCTCAAATAAAAAATACACATTAAGAAAAATAAGCAATATAAGTTATTGAATAAATTTTTAGTTTTGTAATTAAAAATATCAAATCTAATTCAAAATATCACACCTAGTAAAATTAAACTTCTCAGAATTTTATTGTTGGTTGTGGTGACAATTCATTTATTTAGCCTATTTCCATAAATGCTTTTTATACAATTAGGGCACCCCAAAAGTTTAAGGAAAAGTGGAACTGAAAGTGGATTTTCAATGAACCTTTTGAATTTCCTATATATGATTCTATGAGTAATGCAACCAAACCAAAATAAAAAAATAGACATGTTTTGAAGAATTAGTATTAAATGCTATTTTAAAATTTTTTTTGGTATATTGCCAAAAACATGAGGATCTTTGCTAAAACACTCTTCCAGCTGTTACCAATAGCAAGTGGTAAAATGTAAGAATTTGCCAAAAGCCATCTCAGTTCCTGAGAAGTCCCAGACTGCAATGTCCAAGACCCTATTCTCTAGAGAACCTTACAGAGATCTCAAAGAAGTGCTATTCAAACTCTCAAATACACCTGAATCACCAGGAGAATCTGTTAGCAGGCAGAGTGTAAGGAGAGGCCTTGGGTTCTACCTCTGCATAACAGCCCACAGCCTGTCCATGCACCTAGTCTGCTGGCCACATTTTAACAAGGAGTTCAAATGTCCAAGGAACTCATTCTATTTGGATTAAGATGTCAATTGGGCCTGGATTCCATTTAGGAAGGAGAGTAATTAATTACCATAAGCTCTTGGAAATGCCAACTTTGTATGACCAAACCTTGTTGATCCAGTGTTGTCCTCAGAACTGCTTTCAAGAATGAACGTGTCCTGGGAGCAAGGACACAGGGTCTCTGGTCTCTGTTGGAGCTGGTGCTGAGGAAAACTTACTGAGGTGTTGACACTGCCACCTACCACACACATCTGCCTCTACTCCCAGCCAGTGACATGGGGTCATCCCATGGTAACAGACTCTTTTCCACCCAATGCGCCTCTATTCTGTGAAAGTCTAAAATGGGGCTCAGTGGTAAATGACTTACAGGGCAACAAACTTCTTGACATCCCACTTATATTAATAATAATAAAGCCACTTACATTATGTGATGTTACTTAAAGGTACTTTTTCCTTGGACTTATCTTCCCCCCATTTCCTCTTTCCTTGGTTTTCACTCAAATGATTTTAATGTCTTCAAGAATAACATCATGTTATAAAATAACACCATCAAATGTTAATGTGTAACATGTAAAATTAAAACTTTCCCATGCCCTGTCCTGTATTTAACATACACTACAGATCTAAATATATACGGTACATCTGACCTCAAATGTGGACTCTTGGGGCCCATGATTATGCAGAAGGCTCTGCTGCTCTCTAAATGCAATGTTTACTTTGCATCTGACATTATTTATATGTATTTGTATATATTATATAGCTTGTTTAACATGTACCACGTTGGCTGTAAGTTGTTTGTTTCTCTGGGTCAATTTAGCAATCATTTACAGGGACTGGGAAGGTACTAACAGACAACTTGTCCTAAGTTTTGACAGATCCATGCAACCTCGGGGGTTTTATGGACTGAGCACCTGAAATGCTCTGCTCTACTTAGCTGTACTTTTAATACTTGTGACACACAGTGATTTGAAATCTGTCCAAAGTTTGCAATTTATTGAAAAGATTGATTTATTTACTTGAAAGGCAGAGTGACAGAGCAAGAGTGAGAGATACTGATTCCCTCCCCAAATGCCTGTAATAACGGGCTGTGTCAGGCAGAAGCCAGGCGCCAAGAGTCAGGAACTCCATCCATGTGTTCAAAACAGATGACAGGGGTCCATGTATTTGAATCATCTTCTGCTGCCTTCTCAGGCTCATTGGTTGGAAGCTGGATTGGAAGCAAAGCAGGTGGGACTCAAATCTGTGCTTTGATATGGCATGCCCGCATCAGAGGTGGCAATTTAACCCACTATGCCGCTATGCCCATCCTAGGTTAGCAATTTCTTTTTGAAAATTTATCTACTTTTATTTGAAAGGCAGACTTTCAGAGAGAGAGAATGACAGACAGAATATGAGAATCTTCTATTCACTGGTTCACTCCCCAGATGGCAGCAATAGCCAGGTTACCAAATAGGCTAATTTCTATAATGTATCCTAGCTATGTTCATTTTCTAAAACAATCTATGAAAACTCTAAAGCTTGACTACCATATGAAGTAATAGTGGCCCCAAACTAGTAACAGTTATACATTATGAATTCATATGAAAGTTGAAAGATTCTGCTTTTAGGTACTCAGAATGCTTTAACCTAGATCTCATGTCCCAGAGAACACACACACACACACACACACACACACACACACACACACACACACACACACACACACACACACAAATTGTGTCAACAGACTCAAGAAGTTGATAATCAGAGGTTTTTTTGTTTTTGTTTTTTTTGGCAGTGTCTATAAACAATTAGGAACTCCTGAAAACAATTTTCTTTCTAAACTATCTAGCAGTTACCAGTAGCGGCTTGGGTACAAAGGGAAGTTAAGCAGTTACCAGCTTTGTGCTTTAAGCTCTCCAGCACCCAGAACCCCGAGCACAAAAGAACTGCTCTCCAGTCTCAGGTTAGAGCAACATTACCAGTGTGGTTCCACGGGTTCCTTTATGAGAAGATAGGCAGCAGGTGCTGCTGATAACAACGGCATCCTAGAGTCCATTTTCCGCCCTTTCGAGGAGGCTCCAGTCCCCTCCGACCAGGGGAACTTCCTGAAGTCATGGGATTTCTTTTCCCACCACATTTTCCTCCTCAGCTGTTCTGTTAAGTTCTTTGTGGCCAAATCTCTCTTGTGGTCAGGTACAGTTTTTCTTTTAACTCCTTCCCTCATGAATTCTCATTTCTGCCCACATAACACTGAGAAGAGATCTTCCTCCATGGCCTCTTCCCAACCCTCTCACAGACTTCTAGGAAAGCTTGCTTATGGAAAAAAAAATCCTCACACTCAGTCGTTCCAAGGAACCCATGCCACCAACACTAAGGCCATAATATCTACTCCACCTTTAGTTTCCTCATTTTTGCCCATTTCCCTTCTAGGCAAACTCTTTCCATCTAAATATCAGAATTTGACATAATGTACTTAATATAGTGGGTTTTTTTTTTTAATTTTTAAAATTGCTCATCTGGTAACAGTCTTGGGTATTTTTCTTTATTACAAATACTGTTTTATGGCATCAAAGCCATGTTGAGGATTAAGTGAGTTTTTTTGTATTTTGTGGACTGGCTTGAGAACATAACCATGATTTCAAACATCATTTCAAAAGAGAAATGCATTCTACATGCCAAGCATCTAGCTTCAATGCTTCTGAAATACAACCCAACTAAAATTGGATGTGCCTTCCAAAGGCAACATGAGTCTCAAAGTTTAGTGAGACCCAAATGAGGTACAGTTTTCCCTACTGGGATTGGTAGTCTCATTTTTACAACAAGTTACCCAAATATCCTCAGAATCTGAAGAGGGGACCCTGACTGCCTTACGGAGCCACCACCATGACTATTCTGCCACCTGCAGCTGCTTTTAGAAACAATGGCCAACGCGTCTCACTCACAAACCACCTCACTCACTACCCAGATGCACAATGTCAAAAACTAACCTTGACCAAGGGAAAAGGAAGCATGCACACAGGTACTTCCAGATATCAAACACCCATACCTGCTTCATGTTGGTCTTCATGAAATTTATTCAGCTTGATTTGCTCATGTTGTTCAAATCTAGAGTCTGGGGATTCAGGAATGTTAGAGTGAGCTACATGACCCTTCAGCTCCCCATCTGAGGCAACCAAGGTCTGCCGAAAGCCAGCACAGGACTGAGCTCAATCCTTCCCACTTTAACTTTTGCCTGTTTCAGGTGGAGCAGTTGCTGATTTGGGGCTTTTGTTTCAGGACAGGTGCTATTCCATCAAGTCCATTCACCTGTCTTCTATAGTCCACAGGGTATAAGCAGATGCCCGTGAAGCTTCTGCTCCAAGGCTTCGTGGGCTAAGTCAGAGGGCAGCAGTTTCCTCACATTGTCCCATCCAAAAAATTTTGAAACACCAGCTGTCTGCTGCATCCAGACCAATCTGCAACACCTAATTTGTTCCAGATCCTTCTCGGAATAAAATTTTAGAGCTGAGTGCAACATTGCTCAACTCTCCTAAAGGCATAAACTAATTATTTCAAACTATCAATTTTCTTATTTCGTTGGGATTGGGTTTGGAGTTTCCTTTAGACAAGCTATGATCTTTAGATAAGATGAGGTTGAAAATGTAAATCCAATTCAGGAACCCGAGGTTTCATAGAAAAAATAATTTTAATTGGCAAGCCTTTGACCTAAACAGCCCAGTGTGAGATGCTAAGGGCCCAGACATTGGAGAAGACAAACAAGGTACAAGGTACACCTGTGTTAACAGTATTCCAGGTCTAAGTTCAGGAAATTAGAATCCTGAGATTAACATGAACAACATTGGATTGGGAAGAACCTACCACCAGAGAAACCAGCCCCATGTGTGAAATCTGTCCTGGGAGTGATGGAGAGCAGGAGGTCGCCGCCAAGGCCCAGGCTCTTGAACAAGACCAGTCCCACAGGAAGCACAAATTACAACCAGAGTGCACAAATGGGAAAAGCAGGAACGCAGAGCCAGCTCATTCGTCAAGGATTACAGCCCTGCCTGCAGACTGGTTTTTAAAACCAGCGGGTGTGCAGACAGTGGCTTGGCTTGGCAGATTTGCATAGTTTGGTCTTATCCTTAAGAGTTCTTTCTTCTTTTATAATCACCTCCTTTTACTGGTTCTCATTACTCACAGTACAGGGACACTTGCTACTGCCTAGAACTACAGTTCCCTTTTCTGTGTTTCCTTTTCTCTCTCACTCACACACATACACACCTGTAAAATCAAGACATAAAAAAGAAGAAAAACCATCTAGTATGTATTTCCTGTTAACTACTGATTTCTTCTTTTTGGAACCATCTTAAGGGCCTTGAACATTTAGATCCATCCCATTATTTCACAGTAAAAGCTTTATTTGAGATCTGCTATCTGCCTCCTTTCATGCTCAGCCTTCTGCTATAAATACTACTTTCAGGAAAACAAAAAAGGTGTTCCTCATTTCAGAAGCTCTAACCAGGAGAATTTTATCTGGTACTAATTGCCTTTCTCCCCGGTGCTAACGTTTTATTAACAACTCCAACCAGCTCCTGAAGCTTGGCCTCTCCATCCTGCCACATATGAATCTATCTTACAGGGATGCACACTTTGATTGAGGAAATCCATGCATCTTGTCCTCTTAGCAGCATCTGTAGAGCCAAATCGCAACCAACGAAGAGAGAACATCATCACTGATGCCTGTTTCTTTTAACCCTATCTTCTGAGATGGTCTTACAGGTCCCCATATGTATCTTAAAAAAGTAAATTCAGTCTGTTCACAAACTAAGGGAAGTATCAGCATCATCACAGAGTGTGCTGATTCTTTTAGTCTTGCCTCGTACAATCTTTTCAAGAAGAAAAAAAATGCTTTTTTTCTCTACCCACAAATTCTTAACATTTATGTCTTAAAGAAAATGACACAGTACACTAAACCCTGGGCTTGTCTCCACTTAGAGCTAATGATAGACAAAGAAGTATGTAGGACTAGTTCCCCCATTTCTGTGCTGAGAATATCTAAGATCCAAAGACACTGGGTTCTTGACCACATGGAGCTGCTTCCCCTTGGCTGCCCCCTCCTTTTTCTGCCAGCCCAGGTTCCATCTCCTCAGTCTAACCAGCTCCACAAATACAGAGAGGAACGGAACAAGAGAAAAGTAAACTCATACCTGAACAAAGTGGCTCTACACTTTCTTATGCATATGGGGAAATTACTCTTCTTTGAAACCTTGACTTTTAAAGATAAACTTCATGAATTCCAGGGTCAGGAGGTTGGTAAGGTGCGTCCCTTGTCAGGGCAGGTCACTGCACCATCATTACATCACAACCTGTGTGAAATTCCCAAGGAATCCAAAGCGGGTTAGATTCAGTTGGGAAATACTGCCTAGAGGGCAAGGTTAGTGAAAAGTGAACCATTATTTGTGTCTTGTCACGTGACTCTCATCTTCTGTTTGCAGCCTGCTGCACCCCCAGAGGACACCCCTGAGCTCAGCGCCTTTTTGCAAAACTCCACCATTCCTCATCTTATCAGGAAGAGGGATGTGCCGGTGGCCCAGCTCCACAGACAGAGCCCAGCCAAAATCCTGGTGAGTTGCCTCTGTATGCACAGAGCCAAAGGGAAGTATTGGGTTAGACAGACTGTCCAGCATACAGCTGGTTTTTATTTCTGGTACTGTTTTTGGTCTGCTCTAGGCCTTTCTGAACAGCATACTTGTTGATACAGGAGGGTCACTTTCCCATGAGGACTGAGAAATACTGACAATAGAGTCCTCTAAACCTGCCTTGGAGGCTGCTTATAGAAATAATGATGCAAACATCACATGTGTTCTTTTGTCCCTTTCATAACATGTTCAATTGATGGCCCAACCACAGACACTGGGCTGCTTAGAATTTGCAGCAAACTGGGCAAGCACTTTTCCTCCAGTTGACCCATGAGTTGATGCACCTGTGTCTGAATCTTGGCAGTCCTATGTTTGTCAAGACAGGCAAAAGTACTGTGTTCAGGTTGCTTGGGCCAAATTCCCTGGACAGTCAGAGAATTGGGATCTGTAGTAATTCTAGAAGACTGGGCTTAATCTGATCTTTGCAAAGCTGAAGGTGGCATTCATGGGTCAGTGTTTTGATACAGTTCTCCCACTTATGCCAATGCCATTTCTATAGCATTGTTATCTCCCATGAATATCTATTCCCTTCTCTATGACACAAAGACATAGAGTGTGTGTCACGGTTTAGTTCATCTGTGTTCCACAGACCAGCTCCATAAGCAATTAGGAAATTACAACCACAATCCCTAAAGGTCACCTCCAAACTCAAGAACTTCTTCCACACCAAATGAAACAATGCTCAGAAACTTGGGGAAGGAACAGACCAACTGAGAATCCCCAGTGTCTGGGATAGGAGTAGCTGCCAAGCAGGTACTTTTTGTCCCAAAGTGACAACTCAAAAACTCAATCTGGGACACTTTAGCTTGTGTTGATGCTGAATCCACAACCACAATGCTGAGCCAAGAAGCAAACAAAAGGGAGGGATCTTGGGTAAATGAGCCAATAAAGAAGGGAAGGCCAGGTTACAGCTGGCAGAGCACCCTTTGCCAAGGAGGGCACACTATTATTTTTATAGGCAATAATGACTGTTACCCATGGATTGGGAGCCACTGGACACTCAAATCCATGTGGCTGGCTCACTCTATGCACATTCATCCCAGCAAATTGGGGTCATTTCTGGGCTTGCCCAGGTGGCACAGTGCTCTGGCTTCTGGAACACTTGCTTCACTTGCCCATCATGTAGAAAGCCTAGGAGAACAAGTAAAGATGTTCAAAAAAAAAATGTTTGCTTTGCTGAGCACTTTTCTCCAGGGTGCAGCTCAGCTCTTGTTTCACTTTTGGAGTGGATGATGCAGTGATGATCTCCACAAGATGATTTCTAATAAGTCCCTAAACTCACCTCCAGGTTACCTGTGATGTATCGGTTAACATGTTCTTAATCTTCCTCCCTGGCCCTTAGGTTCTTAACCCTAAAACCATTAAGCAAATGACATATTGCAAGCAATTTGAAAAATAGTATTCAATCTGACTAAATTCATTAGCCACTCCACCCCCTACTGATGTAAAAGAAAATGATTGTTACAATCATATGTGAGTAATATTTGAAGAATATAATTATGCTAGCCAGTTAAGAAGCAGAAATAATTTGAGATGGTTGGAGGAACAAATCCATGCTGGAGAAATCAAATCCCTGATTTTAGCATTTCTGTCACCAAAAGAAGTAATAAAAAAGCTTAATTTCTAAAGTAGGAAAGTTTAGAGAAAGCATTTTAGAACATAAAACATACAATGATGGTAGGAATGAATGTTAACAATTATTTTCCCCCTAAACTAAAGCAGTGGACTCAATGGGTATAAACAACATTCCACTCTAAGTGAAATGAAATGGTGACTGTATGTGTGTGCATGTGTGTATTTGTTTGTTGAGGAAGGCAGAGCCAGCGAAGTTTCAATAAAAGATGTCGGCCAAGGAAAGACAGACAAAGGGGGTGAATCTAGGCACTCAATGGGTAATGTATATAAACAACGTTTCACTCTAATTAATGGAATGGGGTGTGGTGATGTGCATGTATGTGTGTGTGTGTGTGTGTGTTGTGTTGTGTTTTGGGAAAGTTCCAATAAAAGAAAAGATTAAGCTCAGAAAAGACAGATGAAAGGGGTGAATACAAATAGTCCTGGAGCAGCTAGGGAGGCACCAGGAGAGAGCAATACTTCATCCTACTGTGTAATCCATAGGCTTGACGTACATGATTCCAAGACCCAGATGAATGCCCTCCGGCTATAGATCCTCCCTTTCCCTTCACCTAGGGGTCCTAGTCTGAGTCATCATAATATTGAGAAGGCATGTGGGTTTTGAGGAAGACAGACAAGGTAGTAAGTTGGAGACCTAGGGAGAAGTTCTAAAGTTGGCTTCCTTTCTAGTTTTGTGCTTCTGTATTTTTCCTTGATTAAATTTACATTAAAATGGGGGTTGGAGGCTGGGGGACTGAGCAGATATTGAGCCAGTAGTTGAGACATTCCTCAATTCCTCAATTCCCATGTCCTTTGTCAGAGTACCCATGATGGCTCTTGATTGAACTCCCTGCATATTAATGCAGAACCTGGAGGCAGTAGGTGATTGCTCAAGTAACTGGGTCCCTGCTGCCCACATGGGAGACCTGGATTGAGCTCCCAGCTTAGGCCATGACAGGCATCTGGGGAGAGAGCTAGTGAATGGGAGCTTCCTGTTTCTCTCTGTGTCTGTCTCAGAGATAGCATGATAAAAATGTTTGTAAGACTCTGATACTATTAAATATGTAAACTCTTGGAGGTTGAACAATATGCTATTAAATGAGCAATGGGTCAGAGAATAAATTAAAGATAAGATCAAAAAATTTATGGAAACCAACAAAAACTTAAATACAACATTCCAAAACTTGTGGGACAACACCAAAGCAGTGCTGCATGGTAAGCTCATTGCAATTGGTACTTATGTCAAGGCCCAAGACAGACACCAAATACAGGAATTAAACACACACCACTGGGAACTGGAAAAACAGCAGCAAAATGACCCCACAAACAATAGGAAACAAGAAATCATCAAAACAAGGAAGGAGATAGTGGAAATCAAATAGAAAAAAAATAATAATACACAAAATCAATGAATCAAACAGCTGATTTTTTGAGAAGATAAACAAAATAGACACCCCACTGGCCCAAATGACAAAGAAAAAGCAAGAGAAAGCGAGAATTAATAGCATCAAGGAGGAAAAAGGCAACATAACAACAGACACTGCAACTGTTAAGAAAATAATTAGAAATTACAAACAACTGTACTCCAGCAAATCGGAAGACCACCAGGAAATGGAAAAATTCCTAGACTCCCAAGGCAGAGATTGATTCAGAGATTAAGGAACTCCCAACAAAGAAAAGCCCAGGTCCAGACAGTTTCACTGCAGAGTTCTACATAACATTCCAAGCAGAGCTAACCCCAATCCTCTACAAACTCTTCAAAACAATAGAAAAGGAAGCAACCCTTCCAAACTCATTCTATGAAGCCAATATCACCTTAATCCCAAAACTGGATAGAGAATTAACAGAGAAGGAAAACTACAGACCGATCTCCCTGATGAACATTGATGCTAAGATCCTCAACAAAATCCTAGCCAATAGAATTAAAAAAAAATCAGACAGATCATTCATCCAGACTGAGTAGGATTTATCCCTGGAATGCAGGGATGGTTCAACATTTGGAAATCCATAAATATAATACACCACACCCAAAAAACTGAAGAACAAAAAATCATATAATAGTATCAATAGACGCAGAAAAAGCTTTTGACAAAATCCAACACCATTTCATGCTAAAAACCCTAACCAAGGTAGTTATAGAAGGAACAATTCACAACATAATCAAAGCAATATATGAAAAACCCAATGCCAGCATCATACTGAATGGAGAAAAACTGGAGCCCTTTCCACTGAGATCTGGAACAAGACAAGGATGTCCGCTATCCCCACTGCTATTCAACATAGTCCTAGAGGTGCTTGCAGAGGCCATAAGACAAGAAAAAGAAATCAAAGGAATTCAAATGGGAAATGAAGAAGTTAAGCTTTCACTATTCACAGATGACATGATCCTTTACATAGAAGAACCAAGAGGCTCAATACAGAGACTGCTAGAACTTACACAAGAGTTTGGTAGAGTGGCAGGGTACAAAATAAATGAACGAAAATCAACAGCCATAGTGTATGCAAATAGCCCCAAGACGGAAAAATATCTAACCAGCAGGGTACCATTCAAAATAACAGAGAAGATGAAGTATTTAGGAATAAATGTAACTAAAAATGTAGGAGACCTCTTTGAAGAAAACTACAAAAACTTAAAAAAGAAATTGAGGGAGACCTCAAAAGATGGAGAAACATATCATGCCCCTGGATAGGTAAAATCAATATCATTAAAATGTCCATATATACAATCAACGCAATCCCAATCAAATTACCCAAAACATTCTTCACAGAACTGGAAAAAATGATAAAAAAAAAAAAGGTTCACCTGGAAACACACACAGAAAAACATGAATAGCTAGAACCATCCTGAAGAATAGGAAGTGAACAGGAGGGGATCAGAATTCTGGACCTCTGGACATACTATAGGGCAGTGGTTATCAAAACAACCTAGTACTGGCACAAAGATAGAGAAGGATCAATGGAGCAGAATAGAAGCAACAGAAGGGAACCCACACAGACACAGCCAAATAATCTTTGACAAAAAAAAAAAAACAGGCGACAATCCATGCAAATGGGAAGGTCTCTTTAATAAATGCTGTTGGGACAACTGGTTAACAGCCTGCAGAAACAAGAAGATAGACCCACATCTTTCACCATACACCAAGATCAAAGCTAAATGGATAAAAGACCTAAGCCTACATCCAGAAACCTTCAAACTTTTTGAAGAAAACATTGGAAACGCCATGCAAGATTTAGGTGTAGGCCCCGACTTCCTAAAAAACACCAAAAGCAATAACAATCAAGACCAAAATAAACAAATGGGACTACATCAA